CCCTCTGTTTTTGAGGTTATTTGTTTGTTCATTTCTCCTCCCATCTTCCTTGCAGCTGGAGACTGCATGAACAGGGTTTACTGGTGGTCTCCCTCCAAAACTGCTTAGCTTCTCCAAAGTTTTTGCATTATGTGCTTCCCTTGGAGCAGGGGTCAGCAACCTTTTTCAGCCGTGGGCCAGTCCACTGTCCCTCAGACCCTGTGGTGGGCTGGACTATATGGGGAGGGGGTGAACGAATTCGTATGCCCCACAAATGCATTTTAAAGAAAAGGACACATTCTACTCATGTAAAAACACACTGATTCCCAGACCATCCGCGGGCCGGATTGAGAAGGCGATTGGGCTGCATCCGGCCGCAGGGCCTTAGGTTGCCTACCCCCTCCTTAGAGCATGCCTTAGGGTATTCTGAGCAGAGGTAGCTGGTGCTGATTGTAATGGTAGAGTGGAAGTCAGGGTGAAGACCAACGCTAGATGGAGCAAGATCCTGTGACAGGCAGGGCCAAATAATTTAGTTTTGTTCCCATCACCCTCCCTGCTGAGATCTAGGCAATTCCAGCCCCTGAACTGGCTATTAAGTAGGAAGGCCAGCAGGTGAGGGCTGGCTGAGGCTGGTGGAAGAATGTTCCATTGGCCCTCAAGAGCCAGCATGGGGGGTTTCCCTGACATTGAAAGAAACACACGATTTTTCAGTGTGAAACTGGGTGTCACAACTTAGGTGTGAAACTAAGCACTTATACACACCCACACTTGTACATGCAGGGAGTGCTTTGGTCAGGAAGCAAAGGTCCTGGCCCAGGTTCTGAGATTGGAGAAGGTGGCACGCCCAGCTCCCTCCATCAAGCTAAGGAACAGTTTTGTGCATGCAGAAATGAAGAGAAGAAGCAGTTTTGGAGAGATGCAAAAGCAACAAGAGGGAGAGCTGGGAAGACACCTTCCTGGGGCCAATATCTCCCTAAAGGGAGGTTGAAGACCTGCTGCAAGGGGGAAGTGTACCATGCTCAGCTTGTATATCTGTAAATAAGCTAAATATTACAAAAATCAACCAAAGTTTTCTCCCCCAAAGGAAATAAAAAGAGTGCTGCCGTTTACAGTCTTGGAAAGCAAGAAGCATGCATCAATATGATTCATCCATTGAGCCCTGCATTTTTCTCCCCTTCCTCTTTTATCTCCCATGTGCTGAATTGTAGACTGAAAGCAGCTCAGGGCAAGGACTTTTGTTCTTCATAAATGCCATGCATATAAATGGGGCTTTAGATAAACTACCACCAATAGTACCATTAATAATAATACCAACAACAACTACTATTTTGTTGTTGTTGGCACCCATCTGTCCCCCACCAGGGGTGTTACTCCTCCCCTGATACCCCATACACCCCAATAACTATTTTACACTGTTATTAATTGGTAATTTGTTTATTTTCATTGATTTATTTTAAAACACTTACGTACTACTTTTTATCTAAGTATTCCAAATCCATAATATCACTCAAGCACTGCCAGAAAGTTTGGCAACCATAGCCCAAGGCATGAAGGAGACAGGAGGTCTCAGGAGGTCAGCAGCGATTTGGGGTGCTGCCAGGATCCAGAGGATTGAGGGACTTGGGGGTTCTGTCCTGCATCTCCAGATTCAATGAAGGAAGCATTATCCTTTCACCCTTGATACTGTATTTGATCCTAGAAGACATCCAGACCAAAATAAAACATCAGTTATCCAGAACCGACTGGTGCTCAACCACTCAGAGGACACTTCAGAAGAGGGACAGCCATGGCAACTGTGTCTTTCACGCTGGCTGTGTGGCTTCTGCAGCTGACCATACTGCAAGGTGACTTATAGGGTTTGGGAAATGCAGAAATCCCCTCCATGTAGCCTTCGTTTAGGGGCATAGCTGTCAACCGTACCTTATTTGGCAAGAAACTCCCTTATCCCAGCACTGTGTCCCGCTGCTGTCCCTTATTGATGATGTCCCTTAAATTTCCCCGGGTTTCATGCTCGCCCAGCTTGGGAGGGAAGCAGTGGCCCAGGGTCCACTGCCACAAGAGAGAGAGAGAGAGCACGAGCTGCCGCATCTCCGTCTCTCCCTTTTCCCCCTCAGGGGCGCGTCGTGAGGAGACGGGTGGCGGCGGGCGGGCAGGCAGCCCCTCTCTTGCGAGACTTCTGCCACGCTGCCAGGGGAAGCCGGAGGCGGCAGCCGTGGCTGAGGAGGTGGCCTGAGGGAGGAGGAAGAGGAGGGGATGGGGATGGATGCAGAAGGGCGGAGCTTCAGCGGCCGCCGCCATGCCGCAACCACCTCATGCCGGGCTCGCGGGCGGCATGGGCGAGAGTCTCTCTCCCTCCCCCCCTCTCTCTTGGGCGGGGAAGGGCCAATGGAACTCCTCGCGCCAGGACGACGGCAGCCCCGACATGCTGCTTATCATACCCTCCAACCAGTGCGGCTTCTTAATGTAGTTATTTCCCCCTCTGCATCCCTTTCATAACTCTATTTTTATAAATCATTTGTCCATCCATAGTTCAAATTTTTACTACATGTTTTCTGTCAATCCTACCAATGTATGTAACTCTTTACAATAGCTTTTCAACTAAATCATAAACTTTCCCCATTCTTTATAAAAGAGGTCCTCTTCCTGGTTTCTAATTCTGCCTGTAAGCTTTGCCATCTGGACGTCATTCATCAGTTTTGTCTGCCACTCTTCTTTGTTGGAGTTGTAGACCCTTAGGATCATCTAGTCCAACCCCCTGCAAAACACAGTCAGCCACAGCAAAAGCAGCATGGCTCCATCAGTGGCGGATTTATGTATAAGCTAAGCAAAATCCCTTATTTTGGCTACTGATCCCTTATTTTCGAGGCTGCTGGACCCTTATTTTCAAATCTGTAAGTTGACAGCTATGTTTAGGGGACAGGAAGGGAATCTGGAGCCATAAAAATATTTTAAATAAAAAGCTTGCCACTATATTTCTTCCTTGTAGATCAAAGCAGCTTCTGTAGGGGATCTCACATTAACTACATCTTAACCTCATCAGTTAAGCTTCCTGCAGTTTGAAAGCATGTCAAAGTGCAAGTAGATAAATAGGTACCGCTCCGGCGGGAAGGTAAACGGCATTTCCGTGCGCTGCTCTGGTTCGCCAGAAGCGGCTTAGTCATGCTGGCCACATGACCCGGAAGCTGTACGCTGGCTCCCTCGGCCAATAAAGCGAGATGAGCTCTGCAAACCCACAGTCGGCCACGACTGGACCTAATGGTCAGGGGTCCCTTTACCTTTAACCTCAGCAAGGTTGATGCATCTTGCACCTTTAAGCCATGCAATACAAAGGTGGGAAGCTATCAAATCAGAATTTCTCCTTCACACAAAATCACAAAAAATTATTGTTGCTTTGAGTAGGAAAGGAAACCACATGCTCAGCATAACACAGAATACTTATTTCTAAGAGCAAAGGATTTTGAGAGTCAAGTCTACCTGGCTTCATCATGTGTCCCTCATTCTAAACTGAAAGAGTGGAGGGGCAAACTTGCCCTCTACTAAACTTAGAGGGAAGAATTATGCTAGGAGCTTTCTCTTGTACCCCTGCTGCTGCTAAGTAGCGGCATCTAAAAGCTCTGAGAGCCTTTGCTCTATTGTAGCCCTAGGGAACGCATCCCCGTTCACACTGCTTGCCAATACTGAATACCCACCAGATCTGACCTGCCCACATCCCGCCACAACTCCTTCAAGCCCCACCCCAGAGTCGCCTTCTCCTAGGAGTCAAGGCACTTTCAGGGGGCAATTTTAGGGGGGGTGGGCCTCCTTAATTTTCAAAGGGTGTTCAGCTCTGTTCCCTGGTTCCATGCAACATTGTGTGTGTGACCTCAGGATATTACTTCAAGTCCCCGCAATCCTCTTTAGATGTTTGTGCCTCTGCCCTAGCCCATTTCCTTACAAGATATATATCTTGTGCAGACACATTCACGTGAAAGCATGGATCTCAAAATGTTGTTGTTGTTGTTGTTGTTGTTGTTGTTGTTCTTGTTCTTGTTCTTGTTCTTGTTCTTGTTCTTGTTCTTGTTATTTCTTACCTGAAGTACCTTCTCTGCTTTTTCATTTTCCTCAGGTGCTGCCAACTCAACAGCAGGTAAGAGCAATTCGATATATTGGAAGCATTTCTGTGCAGGAGTTTCACCCAACCTCCTTAAGACATTCAGCCAAGCCACAAACAGGGATGGGGAAGCTAGTCAGTCCTCAAGGCTCTCCCCATTTCATGTACCCTCCAAAGCCCACATCTCTCTCTCCAGCCAGGCTCCACGCTGTCCTTGAGTAGTTCTGTCTGCTTTGAAAGCATCCTTGAACCGTATTGGTGCCTCTTCCTTGCCAGAAAAGATGTGGTGGGGGGATGTAGAAACCACTGGACTTTTGTGTGGCTGGGTGGGAAATTTGATTCAATTCACATTTAAAGATGAACCTACCTGGTTAGCATTTTCTGAAACAATACATGAACTTAAACACAGCTCTCCTCCCAAATTCTCCCTTCTCCAGAATTCGCAGCGCAGTTCTCCAGTCAGGTAATATGCAGAAAAATGCATATGCTAGCGTAAAGTGTGAATAAATGCATGTGTTAGAAATGACATACAAAGATGTATTCTAGTAGGGAAAACAGCTTTGCAAAAATGTTTACATTAGGGGAAATTGTACAAAAATGCTGGTGAATTTTCATTAAAGCCTTTGTGGGGTGGGGGGGATGCAAAGATCTTGCACTCAATGGCAAACCACGTGTAGCTGGGTCCTTGGTCTCATTGAAGAAAATGAGACTTACTTATGATAAACATGCACAGCATTGGGCCACATCTTCTGAGGAGAAATTATTGGTCAACAAATGTTGTGTTAAGAAACAGTAAGTCAGTTTTACTTACCAGATTAAATGCTCACTAGATCCATCAAAATTGATAACTGGAAATCTTGTTTTGAAGACTGAAAACAATGACTGGAAAACTAATTGAAATTCAGAAATTTTGATTCCTCATGTCCTCGTCATGTTCTGCTCAAAGAGCTCCAACATGGCTGTGCTGCAAACCGTAATAGCAAGTCCTCTCATTTCCTCCTCATCCTTCACAGGGTGTGGAAAACCAATCAACTCTCCACGAATTGTTGGTGGCCAACCAGCCTCAAATGGGTCGTGGCCCTGGCAGGTCAGCATTTTACAGAGCTTTTATCCTATTTGTGGAGGCTCCCTTATAGCCGAGCAATGGGTGCTCTCAGCAGCTCACTGCTTCTTCAACAGGTGAGTATCTGATGGGTATTGCTGTACAGCCGTTATCAAGTGTCACCCAAAAGACAGCACAAGGGCAGGCTAATATCCTCTGCCTGCCTGTCAGCTACCTGGTGTCTCAGGTGTACAATACATTTAATGCAGAACCATGTCACTTTAAATAGTCGTGGCTTCCCCCCCCCAAAAAAAAAAAACCCTGGGGACCGTAGTATGTTACAGGTGCTCAGAGTTGTTAAGAGACTCCTGAGCTACAGTTCTCAGAATGGTTTCAAAATCCATCCCTCTTCCCAGGGAATTGAGCTCTTGGATTTATAGTTCTTTGGGGAGTCCAGGGTTAGGGTGAGCAGCAGGAACTCAAAAGTCAGTATTGACAGATCCATCTGTTTGTTTGTTTGTTTGTTTGTTTGTTTGTTTTGCCCTTCTATTCACAGTATGGGGTCCCTGCTCCAATACAATGTCCTCCTAGGTGCCTATCAGCTCTCAAACCTCTCAGATAATGCGGTGATATCTGACGTGGAGCAGATTATCCTCCACCCTGACTACAATGGCTTGAGTGGATCCACTGGAGATATTGCTTTAATTAAGCTGAAGTCCCCTGTGAAGTTCACCAACTACATCCTCCCCATCTGCCTGCCAGAGTCCTCTACACAGTTCCCTTTGAACGAATACTGCTGGGTGACCGGATGGGGAGATATTCGATCTGAAGGTGAGGGGTGTTCTTCAAAAGGCTCATTCAGACTCTGGGGCTCATCCTGATTCACCTGCATAAGGCTTAAATAGTGGTTAATATTACGGGCGCCTGCAGACTGGTGTTTCTTTGAGTTGTTTGCGCTATAATAGTGTATTAGTGGTAGATTTATACAGGGCCATCCACACATGATTCCCCTTTCGCCATTTTTCTGCAATGCTTCTCAAATGTCTTATCATTCTTTTACACTATAGTGCAACAGAAGTAGGACCAAAGGGGAAAAAAAGAGTCCCTGTACATTTGTGGTATCAGAAGTTAAAGGATTTCAGCAGGAAGTTATAAAACATGCACCAATGGGAAATGAAGCAGTATGTCCACCCCAAAACTTTTGCAGACGCAAGCAGTATTGAAAGTGGAATGCACAATAAAAATGATATCCAGAAGGCCCCAATTCTAGTCCTTCTTGAGCATTCAGTCTCATTTGGTTATGGGGCAGCTCCAAGGGTTTAGGTATAAGCAATTTTTGTGCATGCGCAGAACACCTGGAACTGAACGCCTGTGCAAGATGTGATCATACTGCACTTGGAATCCCCAAACCTAACATTCTGGTATGTGCTTGAATCTCTCCCACAAAATGCTGACACTCTGGAGGCAAATTCAGTGGCAGAATTTTCATGCCATCATTTTCCACAGTGCTTTACAGTATGAATTGGGGGGAACAGCTCCCTATCCCAAGGACAATCCCAACATTTCCATGGGGAAAGAAGGAGGCATGGAATATTACAGATGGGAGAGAAATTTGATTCCATTTTCTTTTAAGACAAACCTACCTAAATTGCACTTTCTCCAAACCATACTCAAACGGAAATATTGTCACCCTCTGAATTTTGTTATGCAGTTCAGCAGCCAAGTAATGTGTACAAAAATGCTGGGGTAAAGTCTGTATAAAAATGCATGGGTTAATGAAAATGCATGCATATATTAGGAGAAAATTGCACTGGGGTGCAACTGGATTTTCATGAGGATTTCTTTTTTGTAAATGCAATTTTTAAATTTCCCAAGGTCCAACTCTACCATTAGGCAGAGTGAAGCAGGTGCCTCAGCTGGCAAGCCCTGAGAGATGTGAAACAGCCATGTTATCTGACTTTCATTCCAAAGCTCACCTGCTGCTCTTAGGTGTAAAGGAAGCCCAGCCGGCCCACCGGTGAGGCAGGCTGCAGCAGCTGCCTCAGGCAGCAGAACACTAAGAGGTAGCACCCCTGCAAGTGCCCCACAGACTCCACTACTGGCATAGAAGCAGTGGTGGTGACAGCTTTCAATGAGATCTGATGAGACCTCACCCAAACCTGCCATCGCTGCTGTTACCCAGGTAACAGAGGATTTGGCAGGGGGTGGCAGCAACATTGGCACGTTCCGGTTTTTCCTCAGGAGCCAAATTGGGACATGCCACCCCTGAGTGAAATATGATGTCCCACTGTGCATGTCAAAGAAAGCACCAGTATGGCCGTCCTCTGCACATGTCATTCTCTGTACACCCACCATGCACTCACTGCTAAAAGTGCATGTGTCTCAATGCACTTGAATTATTCTGCCTCTGCCTTCCATGACTGCTTTCCATTTCTCTCTCTCTCTCTCTCTTCCAGTGCCTTTGCCAGATCCACGAACCCTCCAGGAAGTCAAGGTGCCACTCATAATTCGAGAAATCTGCAATATTCTCTATAACAGTCGCCCAGTGCTAGGCCTGGGCTGGGATCCTATCAAGCAGGATATGATCTGTGCTGGTTACCCAGAAGGTGGGAAAGATTCCTGCCAGGTAGGTTGTTCCATGACCTGTTCTTCATACAGCCATTGCAGGTGGTAGACAAAGGCAGGCTCTGGGGTGGTGGCATTTGTAAACCCCTTATGTCATTATCTATGAACTTACATTGTGTGAATATAGTACTTGGGGAATTGCTTACTAATTTGGCTCTAGCTAGGGAGATGGTACCTGACAATTTTTCAGATTCTCCCATTTTTCAAAGTGTTATTGCTTTTGCTTCATCTTAAATATTGTGATGCTGCTTCTTTGGGCAATACCCCAAATATTGCAGGTGCCAGAGGCAGGCAGAATCAATAATAATAATAATAATAATAATAATAATAATAATTTTATTATTTATACCCTGCCCTTCCCGGTTCAAAAACCAGGCTCAGGGTGGCTAACAACAAATTTAAAACACTTTAAAACACTTAATTATAAAAGCGGCATAAAATACAGTATAAAAACATGAATAACAATAAAATTCAAAAATCAATTAGATAATCCCCAGGGCTAGCTGGCTGAACTGGTCCTACTTGGGCCAAGGGAGAATTAGCTGTGGGGTCTCAGAGCGGGTGATCTTCATAAAACACTAGAACTATCTTGTCCATTCATGCCTTAGGTGATAAAGATTTATTATTATTTTTTATTCAATTTTACAATTAACATTTACATTCAAACCAAAATCGTAATCATAAACATATAGTAGCCCCTGAATCCTTGGACTTCCCTCCATGGGTTCCATTGTTAATCTTTTTCAACTGCATCGTAGTAATGTTCTCTATTTTTCCGTAAAATCTCATTCTTACCATAATTCTTGTTACATTACAAGTGTTGTTAAAATCCTCCCTTTACAGTGTTCTCCCAGGTAACTTATAAATTCCCCCATTCTTTATTGGATTTATTGCCTTCTTGGTTTCTGATCTTCCCTGTTATTTTCACCATTGTGGCAAATAAAGATAAAGATTTAAACCAGACAGTGGGAACTGGTCCACACTTCTGCTTGTGTAAGAGGTTTTCTGCTTGTTCCATGATTTGAGGCATAAGTGGTTTTTTGTCTGTCTTGCCATGTTCCACGGGAAAACCTACTGTTTACCGCTAACATTAATCCGCAGAAAAACATACTGACGTTCATTCCAATTCAGTAAACAGCACGTTTTCCTGGGCGAGAGTGGTGGGACAAGCCTAGTTTGTGGATGAGCCTGGATATTGCTCAGCTACAACTCCCGACACCCCTTACCATGGGCTGGAACTGTTGGGAGGTGGATTCCCCCATCCCTGATTATTGCACTGATTTCAGCTGCTTCACCGAATCAGGATTCAGAATCTAATGTCAGAGTGTTCAGCGTAGATCCTCTGCTACCTCCCATCTCTTTCTCCACAGGGTGACTCTGGAGGACCTTTAGTTTGCCAACTTGAAGGAGTTTGGACCCAGGCTGGGGTTGTAAGTTGGGGAGTTGGCTGTGGTGGAAACGACCACCCTGGTGTCTACACCTTAGTGCCTTTCTATGCCAACTGGATCCAAGACAAGATGAGTGGTAGAAACGGGAGTGGTGGTAAAAGCGACCAACTACACAACGCCCGTGTTGTGACATTCACTTTGGTTTCTCTTCTGCTAGCCCTTCTGTGAAAAACCAATCTATTGGCTTTCCGTCTTACCTATAATTGCCTGGAATATTTAGGCTGCTGGAGGACTCTGTTTAAATCACCACATGCAGTAGATCCAGGGAAACCCACCCCTACTTCTCTCTGATTCATACAGGCATTAGCCTTGTCACATTTCAATTCCTTTCTAACCATTTGATCATAGTTCAGGCATTGCGTGCCCAGGCGGAGAAGAGAGAGGCCATCAGAAGGAATAATAACTCATGACAACATGTTATGGAATTAAAATTGGCTACAAGTTTATTAAACCTTTTAGATGTAGGAACACCTTAGCTTAGGCATTGGGCATGTATCCCTCCCTGCCCCCCAGCTGGAGAATTGGGGCTCCTCGGAGTTAATGGGATAGGGGAGGGTGCACTGCAAGACACTTGTGTACACAGGCAGCCTACCCCATATCTGTGCAACGCAGGGGAGTTCACTGACAATCTTTCAATGTATGACCAGTGACTCCCTTTTCACAAACCCCTTTAAGAGGGAACCCTGGAATCACCGTAGAAGGAGGGGGGGTTAGTCACCACTTCACGTCCACCCCCCATTTAGGGAAGATAGACTAAAGGATTCTGCCCAAGGCTTAAAAGCCACCAAAATTGTGACAATTGCTACGGGGAAGGCAATTCCTTCCCGGCTCCTCAACAGCAACCATCAAAAGACCCTAGCAACGCCCGCTGAACAGGAAGGATAATGGTTAACCTGCAATCAAGCATTATACAAAGGGAGAGTTGGGTGAGTGAAGCTCCGGAGCTGACTGCATGCTTGCTGCTGGCTCCGCCTCCCATTTATGCATCTCAAGCGGACCAATGGGAAGCCTGCCCATTCAAGGTCCGCTCGGCTGGCCCCACCTCCAAAGAAGCCACTAAAAGGTTTTAACTGGGGTTTGGCAGGAACTTCCAATGGCTGACGACAGGGAGGTGGGCCAACAGAACAGTTGGTGAGTCCCACGTGGCTCGGGGGTGCTGCATGCAGTCCCGCAAGGGGACCCACAAAGGGAGGTGTGAGCACTCATTTATTATTAAATTTTGATCCCACCTTCCCTCCATGGAGCTGAAGATGGCATACATGGCTCTCCTCCTCCCCATTTTCATCCTCACAACAACCCTGTGAGGTAGATTCAGCTGAAAGTGTATGACTGGCTCAAGGTCACCCACAGGCTGACTGGAAATTTGAACCCTGGTCTCCAAGGTCCTAGTCCAACACTCTAACCTGGACATCTTACTGTTACACCCAAAGAACCCCAGGATTGTCACCTGGAGAAGAAGCTGAGAATTTTCCATCCATGGACATCAGTTGGAAGCTATGATATTTCAGACTTCTACAGTGATGCTGGAAGTGATGCCTGTCGTTCTGTTCTTAAAAGAAAATTAACATTTTTAATTTACATTTTTAAATGACGTGGAAACAAGTGGTAGATAAATTCAGCCCCTAGGACAAGACATAATAAGTTATGAACTTTAAATTGAATTTCTTCAGTCACTTGATCTTTTATTTGTGATGTTTCAGGGTTTTAAAATTATCAATAAATTATTATAAAATACTTTCAATAGTTTTATTGCTTTATTCTTTGTATGATTATTTCTTCTTCTTTTCTCTTTTAATATTTGTATGTATACACAAAGAGAAAGAGAATGTTTTTATGTACTATCTCTGTCTGCTTCAACTACCTCCATTTCTTCATGCTTTGCTCAGCTTTTTCCTCTTCTTTCTGCATCCTGCATGCATGTATATTCAGTGGTTCCTTGGTTCTCGAACATAATCCGTTCCGGGAGTCCACTCAACTCCCAAAACCATTCAAAAACCAAAGCGCGGCTTCCAACCGGCTGCAGGAGCTTCCTGCACTCAATCGGAAGCCACGGAAGCCACATCGTACATTTGGGTTCCAAAAAACGTTCGCAAACCGGAACACTCACTTCCGGGTTTGTGGCATTCGGGAGCCGATTTGTTCAGGAGCCAAGCCATTCAAGTACCAAGGTATCACTGTACTGAGTTAGACCATTGGCCCAGAAGTTGTAGGAAGGGGCAGAGGCTAACAGAATCACTAGAACTACCTCACCAGTAAATGCCGGAGATATAAACCAGACACTGGTAACCTCTGACCCTCCATTGTTGCTGGTCAGCAACTCCTACCATTCCTGACCATGGACCATGCTGGGTGGAACTGCTGCGAGGCAAGGCCCAACAACATATGGAGGGTTTCAGGTTCCCCATCCCTGATTGATACACTTATTCCATCTCCTTTACCTTGTTTGGCTCTGGTGTCATTGTGGGATCTATCTCCCATATCTTTCTCCACAGGGTGACTCCGGGAGAGCCTTAGTTTGCCAGCTCAAGTTGGACCCAGGCTGGGGTTGTGAGCTTGGGAAGAGGCTGTGAAGGCATCTACATTTCAGTGCCTTTCTATGGCAAGTGAATACATGACAGTAGAAACTGGTTTGGTAAACAAAATGGCTGACCACCCAACGCCCCATGTTGTGACATTCACCTTGGTGTGTCTTATTCTAGCTCTTCTGTAAGAAACCAACAGCCTTTTAGTCTCCCAGATAACAACATGGGATATCACAAACTGTTCACACATTCAGCAACAATGACTATCTGAATGGGCAGTAATCTGGGGAAACAAATGAGACTAGCGGAGAAATTCAGTTCTGTTCACATTTAAAGGCAACCCTATATAATTTACACTTTCCAAAGCAATACACACACACCAAAATATGAATATGTACAAAAATGCATATATTAAAGTGTGTGTTTAAATGCATATGTTCACAGAAATAATGTTTTTTAAAATGCATTATCTTAGAGAAAATTAGTTTTGCAAATATGTGCATATTCAGAGACACACTAAAATGCTGATGATTTTCATGATCCCACACATATACATGGAAAAGAAAAGTGGAAATATTCCACACTCTAATGCTAAGTTTATTTTCAGGATTGACACACCGGTATAAAGCCCTGTGTCTGTGCATACAGCCTCAATAACTGTCAAGCCCTTACTTATCAAATTAATTTCCTTCACATTTTAATGCACATCTGCCTGAATTTACACCAACTAAACCAATATGTAGATCAAAACTCAGGTATCTACTTAAATTCACACTTCTCCAAATGCAATTCTCCATACTACCCCTCCCCCCCAAAAAATCCAAAACCACAAAGATGTGTATATTAGGTGGAAATGCATAAAAATGTGTGTGTTAATTAAAATAATGCACATCATGCATTATATTAGGCAATTTTTTTGCAAAAATGCATGAAAATGCACAGAAATATTTGTGATGTTTTAAAAACTGCTGCAGAGATTGATCAAATTGAACATAAAACTGGGGGGGGGGGGAGAAACTGATAGAAACCCCAACTGACATGTTTAGCCATCTCTACCAATGAACCATATACCCTGCAGAACCTGGCCAGGCAAAATGGGGCAGGGGTACTTAGTTCAACAAAATATGTTTCTGCCTCTGCATTACCGTCTGGTAAATGGGTTGACTTTTGGTGTCACAAGCAGGAGAGGGCTATTGTCTTCATATCCTCCTTTTGAGGTTCCCTAATGGCATCTAGATGGCCACTGTGGGAACAGAACGCTAAACTACATAGGCCTCTGCTCTCACCTAACAGAACTCTTCTTATATTGCTTACAAAGCACAATGTTATCTTAATAATACAGCGCAGTGTTCAGCTTTTTTATGTTGCTGCTAAACCAAATTGATCCCCTGAAAATTGCCCTTTAATTAAAAGATCAAAAATGGAGCAAGTTCAATTGTCTCCTCAGGCAACAGAAACTGAAGAACATCCTTCAATAAAACTTGGAATTCCACGGAAAGGGGGTGGCCCTGGAAAGAACAACTGGGAGACAGAGTTCCCTGAGAAGAGGGGTTGATAGTTAAAACATTCTGTAAATTATTTCTCTATGAAAGGGTCTCTCAACAATGCTCTTAACACACTAGAGCTCTTTGAGAGAAGCCATGACTGTTAAAGCGGTGCAATAGTGCTTTCAATATACAGTGTGAATGTCTCCTGAAGCAAAGAACAAAATGGTGGCCCCCTCCATTCCAGCTGACTGGGCTGGAAGTTGGCTCTTCAGCCTTGGGGGCAGGATAGAGTCCTCCACCTCACCTCAGAGCAGCGTGATAGCCCAAGGGGCAGAGAGCTGGTTGTGTGGCACACACAGCTATGTCCTCCAATAGAGGAGAATAGCTAGAGGGCCAGGAGGAATGGCAGGAGAACTACCAGCACTGCCCCAGGCATCTGCCACCCAAGGAAGCCACCTCAATCTGTCTAACGGTAGGGACATCCTCTGCATTTGCGCAATTGCTGGCCGTGTGTCTAGCTGGACTCCCAGAAATACTCACTCGTAGCCAGGTAGACTGACAGCCTGACTTCACTACACGAGGCCACTTTGTGCGTGTCACAGGCACTCTGCACATGCTGAGTCAAACTCTTGGCAGGCAGTTCAAAATGAAAAACAAAAATGAATGATGGCGTCTCTTTGTTCGAACCAGGAAGCAAATGTCTTTATTTGAAGTGATTTAGGTGTGGTGTAATTGTACGGAAAGAATGAGATTGAGTATTTATAGAATGTGGTGTGTGTGTGTGTGTGTGTTTTCCTCCTTCTCTCCAAAATCAACAACCTTTCATGGTATACAGTCTTTCCAGACAGGTGCGTCCAGAAAGAGCCAGGTAGGGTGCTGCAGCGAATGGAGAACGCTTGTCTTCCTGGAGAGGGGAGGTGGCAGCGTTGAGGAGAGGTCAGTAGCATTTAAGGGGCGAATTGCAGGAACATACAGGAAACTGCTTTATCCTGAGTGAGACTTTTGGTCCATCAAGCTCAGTACTGCCTTCACTGACTGGCAGTGGCTCTCCAGGGGTTCAGGCAAGAGATCTCTCCCAGCCCTACCTGGAGACGCCAGGAATTGAACCTGCGACCTTCTGCATTCACAGCAGATGCTCTAGCCCCAAGCTAAGGCCCTTCCCTCAGAGGGAAGGTGGGTGGTCGAAGGAACGTCATCAGACCTCTGTTTAAGCCATGTGCTTACTCTGAAATTAACTTCCATCTATTTAAGCAATGAGCTCAGACGTTTCTCTCCATAGAGGTTAGAAACGCCGTCTTTGGATTGAATATTAAACCACCTACCTGCTAATGCAGCCAGGAAGGAGACCATAAAACAGACAGGCAGAAATGTATAACTTTTTAATGGTTAATTCATAAAGGGAAGTACCCTGAATTATGCTTCAGCTATGGGAGGGAAGGAGTATCTAGCAGTTAAAGTGACAGGGCTCCTATATGCTGCAAAAGGAACAAACCCTTTGTTCTGGGAAATCATTGTTTTGCCCGTTTTTGGTTTCGGGAGATGACACTATTGTACTTTTAAAGCACATCCCACCACAACCGCTAAGGGTCCTGGAAACTGGAGTTGGGAAGCATTTTGGGAATTGTAGCTCTGTGAGTTCCCAGAACTCTTGGAGGTGGGAAATATGTTTTAAATGTGCTTTAAATGTAGTGTGAGTGAGTGAGTGAGTGAGTGAGTGAGTGTGCGTGCGCACACACACACAGCCTTAAAGTGAATTGTGAGCCTTGTCATTCTTTTTCATTGCACATCTCTCCCTTCAGGGGAAGTAAGGAGGACGCAGGGGGTGCATATTTTCTCTACCTCATACCTGTTTGCTGTACACAGACAGCTATTTTGCCTGCTGCGTCTGCTGCAGAATAATGGGAAGGAGAACTTGAGCTCTGTTTGGGCCGTCAATTGTGCAGGAGGCCTGGAGGGCGGGGACGGAGGGTGCCCCCGGCACCAGAACGTCCTTGCACCTGCCGGCGTCACAGGGCAGGTAGAGTTTCAACAGGGACGGCCGTGCCCAATCACAGCATCTCACTGTGGAATGTTTGCCGCAGGAGCTCTGCCAGAAAGCTCGGCCACACCAGCATTAGGACTGGGGAGCTGGGAGATCTCAGGTAATTGAGAGAGAGCCAGGAGTTTTACTGAGCGGCCAAGAGGAAGGATTCAGGGAAGCCGGGCTTCTAAGTTGCATCTCCACCCCCAGAACTCAGGGAGGCTCCTGTGAGCTCAGGGAAGAGGAAAATGCCTCCAGCCCTTCCCTTTCACCTTTGGACATGAAATTGTATAGCACAGGTGACCGAAACTGAAGCAAAACAGCTTTCCCCAGGAACTGGTTGGAGCAGAACTATCTCGAGGACCCAGCAAAAGAAGGACCACTGAAGCAAGCAGACAAAGGGGGGAGCCGATGGCAGTTGTGCCCTCCTCCCTGCTGCTGGGGCTGCTGCAACTGATTGTGCTGAAAGGTGATTGATGGGAAGATGGGGCGAGGGGGGCGGGAATGAATGTGGGAGTCAGTCTCTTAGGTTTCCTGCATCTTTAAGAGAAGTAAGATGGAGGACGGTGTAGAAGGGAGTCTTTGAGTAATCAGTGACACAGGTGAAACAAAGATACAGGGTCTGTGGCAAGTCAAGGGTGAATGCAGGCTGTGTACAAACCACACAATTAAAGTGCACACACACACGCACACACACATGAATCCTGGGAACTGTAGTTGTTAAAGGTGCTCTGTAAAGGGTAAACTACAGTTCTCAGGATTCTTCAGGGGGTGCTTTATCTGTTTGATTTGTAGGCAGAGGACTCTTCCCCCATTACCATCTTTGATGTGTAAAAGAAAATGAGACCACTAGAGAGTCATATATTCAGCCTTCTCCTTTATGGGGAGCTGGTTCAGTTAGAGACACTCTGCACACTCTCAGGTGCACTCACAAAGGGTGAAGAGATGTGGACAGTATATGTGGTTAAGGAGATTTTGACATGCATTCACTGTATTCTAAAACATTTGTTTTCCGGACAGAGAATCTGTTTTCAAAAGCCATTTCGAGGCACTTAGGATCTATGTCTGTCTTCTTCCCTCCAAAATGTGATGAGACCTTGGGTGCATTCACACCTGGGGAATATTGCATTAGTTTTCCTGTTTTTATAATGCTAGAGATTCTGCCCTGTTTCTTAATGTTCCTTTCCCACTGAAGCACATGCTGTGTTATGGAACTGTAGCTTTTTGACCAATATACCGGCATGTCTTGCCCAATTGCATTCACACCAGTGGGTGTGTACAACACAACAAACAATGTCATCAGGCAGTACTTCTACTTCCCCACCCCTTCTGCACCCCTTCTGTTCCCCCATTATTCTCCCACAAAAACAGCAGGGCATCACTGTATGCTGATATACTGCCCCAAATTCCATCACTTTACGTCTGTGATTTTCAGGGTTAAGGAGGCTACAAACAGATTTTTTTTCTGGAATCAAATAACCCGGAAATGAGCACTAAACATGTGCTATATTCCATTGTTTTTCTGAAAATGGCTTTTATACCATGTGAAAGCTCAGATGTGGATATTAACAGTTAGGAAAACATCAGGAAAATGGAACAAACTATCTTGTGATTACAGCCCTTGTTCAAATTCATAACGTTTTCAGTCATCTCAGCAATTGGGGGGAGTATAATTTCTGCATTATCTTAGTCTGTTTATTAACATATTCATGTCTGTGGTAAATTAAAAGAGGAGGATGTGGAATGCACTTCTGTTTTCAGGATTATTTAGCTATTAATTTTCCTTCCCATTAGCCATGGAACTGAAGGTCACACGAGCAGGGTTAACCGGTGGTCTCTCATCCGAGCACTGACCCCACATAGTCCAGCTTAGCTTCCGCAAAGTTTCTGTATCCTGTGCCTTTTTCAAGCCATGCCCTTGGCAATAGCAGTCACAGAGGCAGAGCAGAAGCATGTAGTTGGTGTCCTGTCAACTGTGTTGCCTTACCCCCCCACACACACACACACCCAATACATTGCAGTGACATTGTTGACGGCCAGTCAGATAAGTGCCACCTCCCTGGCCCTCCAACTTCTACTACCTGGGATGGGCAGGGTCATCGTGACAATTTTCCTCTTATGCACACATCAACTTGTTCCTTTGACAAGGAAGGAAAACACATCCTCCAAAGTGCAAAACTTGGAGTGTTTCCAGATGAACCTTTTATACCATTACCCAAACAGTTTCATTGCTGTGTTTGCACCATGACATCACCATCATTTTTTTACAATCACCCTGCCCATATCTGACATTTATGGAAGATCTAGAGCATTAGCACAAAAATATTTAGATGTGGGTGTTTGTTAAAAATTGAATCTTTTTAAAATGGAAGCTGGGTGGTATGGTTCATCAAGGAGTAACTAACCCCACACCCAGACACCCATGGCTGCACATCTTCACCCCAACTTGCTTCTCCTCTCTAAATTTCACCCAAGCTCTTTTTGTTTTGGCTCCTTGAGATAGCCAGACATGCTTTCACTTTCATTCGTACAAATATTGGTCCTGCAGAGCCCTTTGCTCAGGACCACTAAGTAGTCGTGAATGTGAACAAGTTCCCACAGCTTGCTGATTTAATGTTTAACTTTAACTGAAGACCTTCCAGCATTCTGCTATCTCTTAATGATGAACCGCTGTAATAATGTTCTGACCTTTAGAACAAAGAGATATCTTCCAGTTATATTTCATATGTGTCATTTTATAGAATGCATAGGCTGGGTTTCTCGATCTTGTAATGCAAATTATGGTGCGTATGTACCCTTGCAAAACTTACCCTCTTTCGTGGCAAACCTGTTGGGAATCTGAGGTGAGATACCCCCACAGTAAACGTTGTTCCCAGAACCAGTCACCGCACACAATCAAGAGAAAGTTTCAGGTAGTTTACTCCTGCAAAAGATAAGGCTCAATAAGTTCTGGCTGTAGATATATACAGCTTGTAGGCTTTTGCAGATGTAGATATACAGTATACAGATACAGATACAGTACATACAAGTACAAAGTTACTCTGTTGCTCTAAATAAGTTCAGCAATTCACTGAACAAGTAACACTGACTAATAGGCAAATACACCTGAGATGACATGCATTAATCACAGATATAGTCCAAGATAGTGGCCATCGCTGCCTCCTGGGGAAGCAGATCCCATAGTTTAACTATGTGCTGCATGAAGTCAGGAGTATTAATTTTCTAACAAAATTGGACAGGGTCTTCCTTCTGCTCTTACCTACAAACTTGTTTTTGTGCATTGTCTCTTATTTGAAATATATTTTCTCTTTTTTTCCCCAGATGTTGCTAGCTCCGAAGCAGGTATGTAATATATTGGAAACTATTTCTGTACAGTGGTACCTCGGGTTACCCAGAAATAGTACCTCGGGTTAAGAACTTTGCTTCAGGATGAGAAGAGAAATCATGCGGCAGCAGCGGGAGGCCCCCTTAGCTAAAATGGTACCTCAGGTTAAGAACACTTTCAGGTTAAGAATGGACCTCCAGAACAAATTAAGTTCTTCACCTGAGGTACCACTGTACAGGAATTTCACTGGCCAGAGGGAGAGTGAATGGTTAAACAAAAATAAGCTCTCTCAGAATTATAGTGCTGATTCAAACCTAACAGTCATCCAGTCCAAATTCTGATCGCAGCCTATCACAACCTAGTGTCCTCTAGATGTAGTTAGATTCCAGTTCCCATCAGACTCAGCCAGCCTGGCCAATGGTCAAAGATGATAGAAGTCACAGTCCAAAAACATCTGGAGGGCCACAGGTTGTGTGAGGCTGCTGTAGATCCAATTCACCCATGTTGTACTGAATATAGACCAGTACAAATAGACAGACAGAGCAAACAAGGTGTCCCACAGACATAACTGCATTTTTCCAGAAAGACTGCTTACCGCAAGCTGGAAAGGAGTGGTGCAGCCGAGGCACTTTGTGGCAGCCTTCTGGCTTCGACATGGCCAGGGGAGGACATCAGTTCCTCCTCCATCAGCCGCACTGAGTGGTGGGGCTCACCCACACTTGCAACCAATCACAGGCAACCTCGGGGGCATTGGTAGGGAGCGGACCAGAAGGGAAACTTCTTCCCTCTGGTTCACTCCCTGGCCATAAAAGCCAGGTGCACTTAGGCCCCAGCCTCAGTCATGGGCAGCTTCCTCCATCCACCCTTCTGTTGCCATATTTGGGACCAGGGATGAATTTGCCTTCAGACTAATTGGGCCTTTCAGGCAATTAGCCAGCCTCATAGCAATTGTCACAACTTGGTGTCAGATATGGCATTGGGTTGGATCTTTAGTCTATCGGATGGGGGGTGCCCTCCCTACTCCAAGGTCCTGGGAATTTTGCTACCGCCAGTGTAATAGTATCAATCTTATCCCCAAGGAGAACCTTGACATGAAGAGAGTCAGCAATTCCAGGTTGTTCTGTTAGTATTGGTTTGATTATATGCTGTCTAACCTGTTTATACAGACGGCAATGTAATAAAACGTGTTTCATACATTCAACATTGCAAGATAATGTGCATAGGATTGTGTTTTTCAGGGGAAACAAAATCATAAGGCTGCAATCCTTTCACACCTAGGAGTAAGTACCAAATGACTCCAGGGGGACTTACTTTTGGATAGGACATATATAAGATAGCACTAAAAAGTATTTACTTGCCGGGGAGGAAATATTCCTCAATACCCAAAAGGAGCAGTCACTGGAAATGTTACTTAGAAATTATTATACAAATAAATTTGCCAAGGCAAATTGAGACGTTTCATTTCACATCTTGCCTTGTAAGAATTCAGTTTTTGTGATCATTACAATCTACCTTTCTTTCTTCTCTCTTTTTCACAGTCTGTGGACAGTCTGTGATATCTCCACGTATTGTGGGAGGGAATCCAGCCCCCGAGGGCGCATGGCCATGGCAAGTCAGCTTTATGGAGAAGAACCAGCCTATATGTGGAGGCTCCCTCATCAACGAGAAGTGGGTGGTGTCTGCAGCTCACTGCTTCACTAAGTGAGTATCCAATACCTGCATGCCACTGGGGAGCCATTATGCAGCTTTGTCCCAGAGGCAGCTGTAAGGCCAGGCAGATGGAGGGAGGGAGGTCTTTGAGAGACCAGTTGCAAAAACGATGGAACATTTGAGAACCAAAAACCTGCTGTTCCATGAGGTGAGCCATGGTGTCAGGGCGGGCCCAACAATATTTTTCTGACTGACGTGAAGAGGAAGATGGTATCCTCTCCAGGCTATGTACCCAAGTGACTTAGACAGGCAGCTGAATCTTCCTACAACACAGGCAGTGGGACAGCTTCCTCCACCACACCTAAGGGAAGCAGGTTAGCTTAGGGGTCTGAAGCAAGCTACATGCTGCACACAGCTGTGTCCACCCAACACCTGACAGACTCAGGAAGAACAGCTGCTGCCATTGCACCTTTTGCCCAAGGTGGCCACCTCCCTCTGTCCAATGATAGAGCAGTTCTTCCACCAAGCCTATGACAAGGACTAGTGGAAAGTAGAGGCATGGGGTGACTTGCCCATAGAGGCAAGTGGCGCAGGGCGCCAAGTTCTGGAGGGCACCAGGGAAGAGGTGGAGGCTGGACATGGAGCCTCCTGGCATCAGGTCGCTGCCCTCGCCTACCTCCGCCATGCCACGCTGAAGCAGCGCCGTGCCCGGAGCCTCCACCTGCCGTGCCCACCATGGCATGGGCACCAGGGAAGAGGCGGAGGCTAGGCGCAGTGATTCCTGGTATCAGCTTGCCGCCCTCGCCCGCCTCACTGAAGCAGTGCCACGCCCGGAGCCTCTGCCTCTTCCCTGCTGGAGGAGCCGCCGTCCAGCCACTGCCTGCCTCCTCCAGCCCCACAAAGCTGCCGGTAGCGCCGTAAAAAGGTAGGCAACTCTGGGAAACGGGGGGGGCAGAGGGATTTTTGCACCATGGCGCCGGATATACTTAAGACGGCCCTGAGTAGAGGTGAATGTTATGAATAGTGGCATGTTTAAAGATGTGTCGTGTTATAAGGCATGGTCAACAAAGAATAGCCACTCAAAGGAAGCAGTCTTGCTTGCGGACTCAGCAAGACAGGATCTCAGGTTGCACAGAAACCAAAATCCCTGCTTCACTTGCTTTTCACTCTTGTTTTCCCTCTTCCAGGGGTTACGAACAGTATGATGTGCTGCTGGGGGCCTATCAACTCTCAATCCCCCCATCCAGCCTTGTGGTAACTGCTGTGGGGCAGGTTATTTCTCACCCGGATTATAACGGCAATGATGGCTCTCCCGGGGATATCGCTTTAGTGGAGTTGACGGCCTCACTGGATTTGAGCGACTACATCCTCCCAGTCTGTCTGCCAGACTCTTCTGCACAGTTCTCTATGGACACATCCTGCTGGGTCACAGGCTGGGGGCAGGTTAAAGACGGAGGTGAGGAAAAGAGACAGGGCATGCTCTCATGGAGACCAGCCTTCCCCAACATGGTGCCCTCTAGATGGTTTGGACTACAGTTCCCATCATCCCTAGCCAGCATGGCCAATGGACAGGGACAATGGGGGGTTGCAATCTAAGTATCCAGGGAGAACCTGGTTGAAGAAATCTGTTTTAAATTTTGAGGGCCAAACTAAATATTATGTTGTTCATGCTTGCTTAGAATTACTACTTTTATTTTGGAGGGAAAGTATGCAACTGGGTTTGTGATCCACATTTGCAGGGAAGCATTTCCAAATTCAATTACTGCTGAAAAATCAGCCTTTCACAGCTGCTGTATTCCAAGCCAAGTACTGTTTACTTCTAAAAAGCAGTAGAACAGGCTTCCCCAGTGCAGGTTACCAGGGGTGGAGGTTTGTCTGAGTGTTCAAAGTGTGGCGTGTTCTTCCACAATGTGCTCACTGTTAAAAGTATGTGTGAGGCACCCAGAACTCAGTTACATTGGCAAATAAAAAGTGCTTTTTATGCGTTATAACACTGTGACACCAGATGGCGCTGTGGGGTCCCGTCTTTTGTCAACGTGATTTCCCTTTATGAAGTTTAGAACGCATTTTCCTGAAACTTTTTTTTGGACGTGTCTAGATCCAGCCCCAGAGACCCTCTATTCCATTTTCATTCAGCTGTCCAATTTTTGTCTTCTGCAGAGGCTTTGCCACCCCCACAAACGCTTCAGGAACTGGAGGTGCCCCTCATTGACCGAGACACATGCAACTCTCTCTTCAACAGTGCCCCAGCGCCAGACCTGCCTCAGAATCCTGTCCTAGATGATATGATCTGCGCTGGTTACCCAGAAGGCGGGAAGGATGCCTGTCATGTAAGATGCTCCCCATCCTACATGTCATAAAACCATTGCCAGTCTTGGGCCTGGTATTATTAGTGAAAACCAACTGTTCAGAAGTGTTGTAAGTTTACTCAGTGGGAACTTCTATCCCTGACCCTACAGTATCCTGAGAAGAGACAGGGAACTAAATGCACTGTAAAAAGACGTGTGCCTACAGAACCCCAAGCCATGTCTTCCTGACCTGGACCTAGTCCATGGATCAGCCATACCCAGTCAACTGTCCCAGACACCCCTGATTTACAGAAGCCACCTCGGCTTCTGATGAGCTCCTGGGATGTCCCAATTTGGCTCCCACAAAAGCACAGCCCCAAAAGATGAACGTTGGAGGGGGCACAATCTCAGAAGAGTCACTTAATTTATGCAGGACCTCCACTCCGAAAGGCGCATGTCCCGATTTCACTCAGAGGCATGTTGCCAGCAAGCTTTTTTTAGGGGATCAAGGAGCTAATCTTTCAGTGGTAAACTGGATAGGGTCTGGGTCAACATGGTGGGGCAGAGCCAAGAGCAAATGATTGCTCAGTGAAATGATTTAGAGGTGTATAAAATGATGCCTGATATAAAGAAAAAGGATAGAGAGACAATTCGCCTCCCCGGCTCTCTCATAATACTAGAACCCAGGACCATCGAATTAAGCAGAATGCTGAGGGATGCAGGGTGGATGAAAGGAAATACGACTTCATGCACTGCATAGTTAAAACTGAAATTTGTTCTCACAAGTTGCAGTGACAGCCATCAACGTGGATGGCTTTAAAGGGGGAATAAACAAATTCCTTGAGGAGAAGGCTATCCATGGCCATGAGTAGGAATGAGGGTTCAATTATAGGGGCTTGCAAGCGCCTGGCTTGCAAGTGAGACCTGAGCCTTACTCCAACTTATCTAACCATTAACCCAAATCTGGTCTCAGGAGGCTTCCCATAGTCACGTTCTAGCTGCCATATCCCCCTCTCTCTTTCTCTCCACAGGGTGACTCTGGAGGACCCTTGGTTTGCAGGTGCGATGCGGGTTGGACCCTGGCTGGGGTTGTGAGTTGGGGAGAGGGCTGTGCTGAACCCAAACACCCTGGTGTCTACACCTTAGTGCCTTACTATGCCAACTGGATCTCCGACAACGTACCCAACATAAGCTTTGTGGCGTGCAACCATGCTGGATGGCACAGTGCCCCCATTATGACACTCTTCCTTGCACCTCTTGCTCTGGCCCTCCCTTGAGGTGCCATCTCTCTGTTGGCCCGCAACCCAGACGGTACTGCCAACTGGACTCTGTTAGAAATATCCAAAAGGACTGTGTGAAGTAGGGTACAGTTTCTGGGAATCTTCTCCCACTTCTGTCAAATTAATTGGGGCACATCTGCGTTATCCATTTTTTAAAGAAAAAATAAACTCTTTGATAGTGCTGATGTTTAATGTCAATCACTCAGTTTTAAAGGGGAAATCCCAGGAGATAGTTTAAATTATGCAAATCAATTCCGCAGCAGAGGTGGGTGAAAAATGTTGAATTTAATTTCTTTGAATTATGTGAATGTTTTTGATGCAGTCCAGGTTTGTCTGTGGTACGTTTGTTTACATCATCAATCTACTGCTATATTTACAAATGTTTTGGCTCTTGCACTCTTTGAATGCTCATGCACTCTTTTCCTCTCGTCGCTCAGGTGCATACCCGGGATTGCAGTTTTGCAATCCAAATGGTGTGATTTGTCAGCACCTTTGGAGAATTACCTTCCTTAGGAACTTTTTTCTTTTTTTCTTTTTGCACAATTTCCAATGTGTATTCAGCATGTGTACCAATGCTTTGGTACTATCACATTGGGGAAAAATTAAAGGGGTGATCTAGACTGTCACTGTTTCGCAGGAGGAATCCAATTGAAAATTTAAATTTTCACAAAGGGGATTAAAGCGCTGTAGTGCAACAAACCCACTAAATACAAAAAAGACAGGATTTTTGGAGTATGCAAAGCAACAGGAAAATCCAATAACCACTGATTGACAGGGAGCTATATAATCTCACTGAAACACGGGACGCTAGCTGCCATATATGGAGTCAGACTATTAGGCTATCTACTGTCTGCAGTGACTGGTAGCAGCTGTCCAAAGTTTCAGACAAGGGACGTGCCCAGTCCTGCCTGGAGATGTTGGGGATCAAACCTGTGACCAGAGATGCTCCTCTGCTGAGTTACGGCCCTTTCCCCATAGCTCAGTGAAAACAAATGAGTGCAAACAATGAAAGCTCAATAAACAGTGGACATCATATAACCTCCAAGCCAATTTTGTGCTAAATAAGCAGCTCACCTGGGAGAGTGTTTCCTGGTCACTGTGTGGTGTCCGTGAGAGGCATTTGTCTTAGTTGAGATCACCTCATAGCTTCTGTTCTACAGATTTGCAGCTTGATAGTTTGATACCAACATTGTCTGGCTAGTTCCATCCCAGAGAAACATGGCACTTCATTATATACAGCTGAATTTTCCCCTTCCTGTGTTCATTTACTCTACAAACAGACAGACCGACACCCAGTTCTAACCCACATGTGTCAAAGGCATCTCCGAAAACCAATCCAGGAGGCAAAATATTAGCAGTGACTTTTTCAAAGGGTGGGTTCAGGGAAACAGGGACTGTCTCAGATAAAGACCGACAGTTGAAGCATACCTGTGGGGTTTTCTTGCTGGTTGGGTGTTCAAACAAGGGCCAGTTACCAGCTACTGCTAATGTTCACAGGACTGTATGATTAAAATTGAAGCGGACTAGCAGCCTCATGTATGGGACGCGGGTGGCGCTGTGGGTTAAACCACAGAGCCTAGGACTTGCCAAACAGAAGGTCGGTGGTTCGAATCCCCGCGACGGGGTGAGCTCCCATTGCTCGGTCCCTGCTCCTGCCAACCTAGCAGTTCGAAAGCACGTCAAAGTGCAAGTAGATAAATAGGTACCACTCTGGCGGGAAGGTAAACGGCGTTTCCGTGTGCTGCTCTGGTTCGCCAGAAGCGGCTTAACCATGCTGGCCACATGACCCAGAAGCTGTACGCCAGCTCCCTCGGCCAATAAAGCGAGATGAGCGCCGCAACCCCAGAGTTGGTCACAACTGGACCTAATGCTCAGGGGTCCCTTTACCTTTACCTAGCAGCCTCATGCCATGCTGGCTATCACTGATGTGAGATGCAGTCTAAAATATCTGGAGAGCACCAGGTTGGCAAAAGCTGCCCTAACATCTGCCACCTGTTCACTTTTGGACACAAGCCACCAGGATATTCTCCCACAAAGGCTCCACCCCCTATGTCTAAATTACTTACGAATTGGGGAAATGGTCCACTGTTACATAGAAAAGTACCCTTTTAATTTCGACCAGTTGAGTTACATTTATCTTTTACCGATCTGTATTTCCTTTCATTTCTCTGTTATTCCTCTACATTCTTTCTACTGCCATCCGCTAAGCCTAAGTACTAATATTGACCTCCTGCTCTGAGAGCTATGATCCTTATGTAACCAAATGGCATTATCCACCCACAGCAGGGGTGGTACTGGCAAGTTTGAAGGCACTCAAAGTTTTGCAGAACAAAAAAAAAGTACAGTAGCCACAGAATGCTGATTGGCTGTTGGGTGGGGAAGGACAGAAGACAGATGGAATGGAGTAGCCTGAAAGAAGGTGTGCGTGGCTGGCTGGCACATCGAAGAAGAGCACCCCTTGCAGATCCATGTGCTCTGTTCTTATTTTAATGGCTCTTGACCCTACTTTTGTTTCTGTTTCCTCTTTCAGTTACACATTGTTTCTCTTCACCTATTGAACAAAAACAGGGCGATCGTTCAGATGGTGGCAAAGCTGTTTAGAATATTCAGAGGTGACGCACTTCTGAACACTAGTTGTTGGGAATTGTAGGTGGGAAGAGCTGCTGTTGCAAGCTTCCCCTGGGCATTGGTTGGCCATGATGAGAACGAAATGTTTGTCTAGATGGGCAACTGGCCAAGTCCAGCAGGGATCTTCATCTGTCCTTGATGTCCTCTGCTTCAGGCTCAGCCTACAGAAGACCAGAGTCCGGTCACTCTGAGCTGGTTGATCCAACCTATCAACACAAGGTGGCCATTCTGAAGCTCCAAGTGTGCAGGCAGCATGGGTCACCAAAGGCTGTGGGTCAAGACCAGGAGAAGAAGTAGAAGCAAGGGAGTGGCAGAACTGGCACTCAAGAGATGGGCATCACCGCCACCATGGGCTGCTTTCTCTGCCATAGTGCGCTGAATCCAGTCCATGTAGGAAGTCACCCGTGTGTGGATTCCCGGCCGCTTGGGCTTTGCACAGTCCACCCCAAAGCTCACCACTCCAGCCAGGAACCAGGTGCCATTCTGCTTGCAAGCTAAAGGGCCCCCAGAGTCACCCTAGAGAGAGGGAGAGAGAAAGACAAGGAAATATAATAGATTGCCTTATAAAAGGCCAGCCTTTTTGTGCATTCATTCATTCATTTTCTAGTATTTGTAGATCTCTTTTCACTACTGTGTGATCTAGCCCAGCATTGTCTACCCTGGCTGGCAGCAGCACCTCTCCAAGGTCTCAGGCAAGGGACTTTCTTATCACTTGCTGCCTGATCCTTAAAGTGGATATTGTTGTTTAGTCAATTAGTCTTCTCTGACTCTTCGTGACCGCATGGACCAGAGCACACCAGGCACTCCTGTCTTCCACTGCCTCCCGGAGTTTCATCAAATCCATGTTGGTCGCTTCTGTAAGACTGTCCACCCATCTTGTCCTCTGTCGTCCCCTTCTCCTTGTGCCCTCAATTTTACCCAACATCAGAGGGTTTTTTCCAGAGAGTCTTCTCTTCTCATGAAGTGGCCAAAGTATTGGAGCCTCTGTCCTTCCAGTGAGCACTCAGGGTTGATTTCCTTCAGAATGGATAGGTTTGATCTTTTTGCAGTCCATGGGACTCTCAAGAGTCTCCTCCAGCACCATAATTCAAAAGCATCAATTCTCCGGTGATCAAAGTGGAGATACCAAGGGCATTTTTGTGTGTGATTTTCACTAACATATGCATCTATAGGCACGTTTTACCCTAGTATATGCATTTTTGCACATATTGCTTGGCTGGAGAACTACATTTCAGTCCACATATTGTTTCAGATGATGCAAATGTGGCAACTTAGCCTTTAAATACCAGTGGAATCAGATTTCTCCCCCATTTCTAGTTCCAATGGCCCATTTGCAATATCTGAATTTGCAATAATAAGCACTCATCTGGAAGCACCCACTGTCCCTCTTGTGTTGGAAGGCTCCAAAATCTTGAGATAAACCTCTTGCAGAAACCAGGGGCGCTTCCAGACAACCTCTTTATTGAGCATTCCCATCCTGCTTTCTCTGCAGGGAGATTAGACGATGTTGGCTATTTAATGAGCATCCGTTCTGATTTCTCTGCAGGGAGGCTAGACAAGGTTGCTTCGATGCAAGTGTTATATCCCACACTTTCCAGTGCTTTCTTGATCACAACAGTCTGATAGTGTTTTGGGAAAACTCCCAATCAATAATAATTGTACCACCTGAATTTGCCAGTATGTGACTTGAATTCCCACCTAAAAGCAGTGGCTTGTCTGGAAGTGCCCCAAAGATCCACTTCTCTCGGAATCTGTATTTTTAAGGACTGAACTGTTGTACTGAAGCCAGATTCTGGCTCTGCCCTGATCTATCCTAATCCACAGTCACCCTCTCATCCTAGCTGCCAGTTGCTTCCTCCCTGACCCCTCCCCAGTTTCCATTGCCCTTAATCTTCTGTTCTGATCCACAATTACTTGGCAAGTGTCTTTATTTCCATCTGGGTACCCAGCACAGATCATGTCTTTGTAGATCAACCGGTGGCCAAGAGGCACAGTCTCGGTGCCATTGGAGTCCTCGTGGAACATCTGATCACATTCCTCAGTGCCTAGGATTGGCACTTCCAGCTCCTGCAACGTCCGAGCCATGAAGTAGCCTAAGACAAGGAAAGCAAAGGACCAAGATCAGCCACAGACTCACTGTCCCTTAACAGGATATACCATTTACACCAGACATAGTGAACCCCTTTTTTCAGCCTAAATGCAGTTCCCCTTTGGGCAACTTCTGGTCATAGTCAGAGTTAAAGAAGGTAAAGGACCCCAGACAGCTAAGTCCGGTCACAAATGTCTCTGGGTGGGGTTGCGGCGCTCATCTCACTTTACAGGCCGAGGGAGCCGGCGTTTGTCCGCAGACAGTTTTTCCAGGTCATGTGGCCAGCATGACTAAGCTGCTTCTGGCGCAACGGAACACTGAAACCAGAGCAGCGCACGGAAACGCCATTTACCTTCCCGCCAGAGCATTTATCTACTTGCACTTTGATGTGCTTTCGAACTGCTAGGTTGGCAGGAACTGGGACCAGGCAACAGGAGCTCACCCTGTTGCAGGGATTTGAACCGCCAACCTTCTGATCAGCAAGCCCAAGAGGCTCAGTGGTTTAGACCACAGTGCCACCCGCGTCCCTTTGCCAGTCAGAGTAGACCCATTTAAATTAAAGGACATGACCAACTCAGGGCCATTCATGTGAATGAAGCAGATGGCACTACAACCCGTTCTTACCATCTGCGGAGATGAGGCCCCAGCCAGTAACCCAACATGCCATCCCTACAGGGAAGGTGTCAGGATCTGAAGAGCTCGGAAGGCAGATAGGGGAGATGGCTCGGGAGAAATTGACTGCCTCCTTCAGCTGCATCAGGGCGATATCAGCACTAAGTCCTTCTCCAGCATAAGACGGGTGTACTATGATCCGGCTGACAGCAGAGGAGACCATGCTGGGCGCAGGCTTGGGGAGCTCGTATTCTCCCAAGTTTACTCGGAATTCGGGTAGGTTCAGTGGCCTGTGAGAGACAAGGAACAATAAGCATCTTGTGCGGTAGGAAGGCCTGGATTCAAATCCCACCTCAGCCCTGATGAAAGACATTCTCTAATCCTACTCTGCCTCACAGGTTTGCCTGGTGGGTAACTTGGGGTTATTAACTGTCAAGCACTTTGCACCCTAAGGCTGCAATCCTATAGCCACCTGGCAGGGAGGAAGCCCAGAGCCAGTCCTACCATTTGATAGAGTGAGGCAGCTGCCTCGGGCAGATTATTTCAGCTGTAATTAAAGAGCAGCAATTGATAGGACCTTTGTTCTTGTGGCATTTTTACGCCCACACAGAGTACTTTTTAGGCCATATTTACAACATACATGTAAAGTGCTATGTTATCACTTTAAATGGTCGTGGCTTCCCCCTCACAGAGCTACAATTCTCAGAATGGTTTAACCATGGATCCCTCTTCCCAGGGAACTCTGGGAACTGTAGCTCCATGAGAGAAATAGGGGCTTCTTACCAGTGCTATTTTTCCAGAAAAGGAGGTGCCAGAGCTCACCACAAACTTATTCCTTGTTCTTGTAGAATAGCAATGGCACCCACCTGAGAGGTGCCAGAACTGAACTCCAGTGAGCTCTGACTGGGGAGGGGGACACAGACCCTGCTGCTAACTTCTCTCAGCATGCTTAATAAACTACAGATTCCAAAATTTTGTGGGGGGGGAGAGAAGCCATGACTGTTTAAAGTGGTATAATCGTGTTTGTCTGTATTGTGTCGATGTGCTCTAAAATGCTGCCCTGGGCTCCTTTGAGAGGAAAGGTGGGATATAATCAATCAATAAAAAAATTAAAAAACTGAACTGACTTGAGTTGGGGAAGGAGGGAGTTGCCGTTTGCTGCTCTACACCAGGCACCAAAATGTCTTGTATCATCCCTGAGAAAACCCAACGGAACTTACTTCTGAGGAGCCGTTTATTGGATTCCATGTATGTTGGGTTGACAGGCAGAGAAAACTAATTACAGTTTTGTTCTCATCGTCCTCTTCCCTGCTGAGTTCCCTAAGGGCATCCCTGAGAGTGAGGCAAAGAAAGCCGACAGGCAGGGCAACCCCCATTACCGGCTGTAAAAAGGAAGGCAAGCAGGCAGGGGGCGCTGAATGAAGTCAATGGGGCAATAATACACACATTCTCAGTAACTGAGATAAAAGAAGACCATTAGAGCCAGTGCCGTAAATATATTCCTAACTCATTGCAAGCATCAGATCGGTCCCTTCCTGAACCAATATTGCTCCTTCTCCCTGACACTGTCCTTCGACCGCCCTCTAGTGGAGCAGTGCAAAGCCGCGTCCTTTCCCTCTCACCCTTCAAAGCAATGAGCAGCCGTCACCACCCACTGGGACGAGACCAGGCTTCCTCCACAAATGTGCAGCCGGTTCCTTCGTATGCTGGCTTGCCACGGCCATTCCCCTTCGTCGGCCTTCTTCCCCCCGATGATCCGAGGGGCGAACACGTGGGGCCGTCCGCAGGCTGCAAAGGAACGAGGGAGAGGCGTCAGGCATGGGGCAGAGAGCGGAGGAGAAGCGGGCGAGCATCACCCTCGGTGACGTTTCATTGCAATTCTGCAGCAAATGTAAGCCACGCTAAATGTTGCGGCTAATAGTTTTGTCTTCCCGGGGCAGAGCTGGGAGCGGGCAGCTCTGGCTTGGGATGCTGCTGTGCGGAACTTGCCTGCAGGTGGAGGACTGAGGTGGCAATAAAACGACACACGGGCGTGCGAGCCACTTGCTCTAGTCAGATCACTGTCCTCCTGTGTTTTCCCAGTGGCCTTAGAAATATGTCCATCTTCAAACTGGCGGACCCACCAAAATTTTCTCTTGGTTGTTGTTTTTTAAAAGGAGAGAGGCAGAAAGAGTTGTAGGAGGGGGGAGAGGGGCCCCGGGATAGTAAACAAAATGGGGTCTATCTCTCTGAGTCCAGGGAAATGGAAGCAACTTTTCCAGGGGCACCTTGGAGCCTGATCCCACTGATTTCTTGGAGGAGGAGGGGTATGGGTATCCCTTCCCAGAAATCCTCTCTCACCTCTTTGTGTGGAAGCATTTTCAGCACCTGCAAGGGAAAATGAGACAGGGTCAAAATAATGGGAGATGATTGGTATTAGAAGGCGGAGATTGGACCGAACACTTTTGTCCTATTCCTGACAGCCCCACCCCCTCCCCCATTCCAAAATCTGCTCCGTGGTGAAATGCCACTAAGCCTGAGGTGTGGCAGAACACCAAAGGGTTGTTTCTTCTCCAGGACTGGATTTCATTTATTCATTCATTCATAATTAAATTTCTATCCCATCTTTCCTCCAAGGAGCTCAAGGTAGCATATGTACATGCTTCTCCCCGCTCCATTTTATCCTCGCAACAACCCTGAGAGGTAGGTTAGGCTGAGAGATACTGACTGGCAGCACCGGTTTTACGTATAAGCTAAACAAGCTATAGCTTAGGGCCCCACTCTCTTGGAGGCCCACCCAAAAAATTAAAGGGGGAAAAACTGGATGCACATTTCCAAAATATAGGATAAAAAACAAATAAAATAAATCCTACATCATTCTAAGTTAGAGCTTAATAATTATTTCACTATTAATATAATTCTTCTTAATTGTATTTCACTATTAATATACTTCTTCTTAGTTGTATTTCAGTTCAACAATTACTTTTATAAAATACATATTTTGTTATGTGCAAATGGCTTTAGATACCTATTAGGTCATGGGTTGGCAAACTAAGGTCCGTGAGCCGGATCAGGCCCAATTGCCTTCTAGATCCAGCCTGCTGACAGTGCCAGAATCCAGGCAGCCAGCATAGCGCTGGCGTGCGATGATTTTGCAACTCAGTCAGGCTTGGGGGTCAAAAGTGAGGAGGGCAGCTGCTTGAGACAAGCCCCTTTTCCATTTGTTGCGCTTGTGCAGCAATCTTTTCCTCCAGGATGAGGGGTGGGGAAGAGGGAAAAGGAGCCACAGTTCGGATTTCCACCATGGAGCTGCCTGCGACTGACCTCAGGAAGGGCAGTTGCGGCGGCAGGGGCTCGGAGGCGCCTTGGGAGTGATGCCCGCAGGTGTCTGTGATGGTGGTGGTGCCCACCAAAGGAAGCAGGGAGCGCCTGGGCAGCTGCACTCGGACACAGTTCTGCGCTCTGCTGGGGAGGCCACTCATTAGCTACAAGGTGCAAGCCATGGAAAGGTAAATAGCCAACGCCTTGTCTTCCTTCACACGGGGAAAAGAACTTTTTTGCTTGAGCGGCACCGGCCTGACTTAACGTGGCCAATGGCTTTTCCCTTCACCCACGCATGTGCACATGCTCTCCAGGGCTGACAAGAATGGCGCGCTTACCTCAGCCCCCCACCCCACCTTATGAGAAAATAATAACTGTCAATGTGTAAAATGCAAAGGAACCAGCATAGGGATATGAAGGAGCACCCCCCCCCCAAAAAAGGATCACATTTGGGCAACAGTGGGGTTAGTCCCAATAAGGGTTTTTGCCAGAAATGTGGGTCATTATCATGGCAACATATAGTCCCCACACACACACAAAGTCTGAGGGACAGTGGACCGGCCCCCTGCTGAAAAAGTTTGCTGACCCCTGTATTAGGTCCATAAATTACCATTTGGCATATATTCAAGAACAAAAAACAGTGGCAATTTGTAAAGGGCCCCATTACCTTCAGTAGCCTCATCAAACCTAAATCCGGCCCTGCTGACTGGTGAAGTGAGCTTCATGACTTGAGTGGGTTCTAGTCTAACGTTCTACACCACACTGACAACAAACAACTCCTTCTCTCTATCATTGCATCACCGAACACGGAACACAGAAGAAACCCAAAGCTTTCATGAGGGGTATGGAGGCAGAAACCATTTTGGTCCAGCTGAGGCAAATCATCATACGCAAGCATCCCAGTATATCATTTGGGAATTTTATAGCTTCTAGGGTTCCCTGCTGTGGCCCATTCCCTTCTCATAAGAAGACCCCTGCTGGATCAGGCCAATGGCCCACCTAGTACAGCATCCTGTTTTCACAGGGGGCAGCTCTCTGTGGGAAGCCTAAAAGCAAAAGCTCACTTGAGATTCCCAGCAACTGGTACTCAGAGGCATCCTGCCTCCAACGATGGAGGGAGAGCATAGACATTGTGGCTGGCTCAGTTGGTAGAGCATGAGACTCTTCATCTCAGGGTCATGGGTTTGAGCCCCACATAGGGCAAAAGGGTCCTGCATTACAGGGGGTTGGACTAGATGACCTTTGTGGTCCCTTCCAACTCTACAGTTCTATGATTCCGTGCTCCATGAAATTGGTCTGATCTTTTAAAGCCATCCAAGTCAGCGGCCAATGCTACTTCCGGAGTTTATGTGCCGTGTGGAGAAGTCCTTTCTTCTGTGTGTCCCAAATCTTCCAATATACTTCTTGTAGTAGCCTTGCTCCCAGATCCTTCCACCTCACAACCTACCAGAGCCCCCCAACTCCTCTTCCATAGAATTGGATCATCCAAAGAAAAGCAGAATGGACAGCCCAGGTGAGATGCGGAAGAACTGCTCCCCTCTGGGAAAGAACAGGGGTTGTTCTCACCTCCCCAGGTTGGTTAAAGGTTAAAAAAAAGGTAAAGGACCCCTGGACGGTTAAGTCCAGTCAAAGGTGACTATGGGGTTGTGGTGCTCATCTCACTTTCAGGCAGAGGGAGCCTGCACTTGTCCACAGACAGCTTTCCGGGTCATGTGGCCAGCATGACTAAACTGCTTCTGGCGCAGCGGAAAACAGTGACGGAAACCAGAGCGCATGGAAATGCCGTTTACCTTCCTGCCGCAGCGGTACCTATTTATCTACTTGAACTGCTAGGCTGGCAGGAGCTGGGACAGAGCAACGGGAGCTCACCCCATCACGGGGATTCGAACCGCCAACCTTCTGATTGGCAAGCCCAAGCGGCTCAGTGGTTTAGACCACAGCGCCACCCCCCCCCCCCCCCCCCCGCCTAGTGGCTCACCTCTCAGCAACAGCAGCAGCAGCAGCAGCAGAATCTGGGAACAGCAGAAACTCAGCATGGTAATCCTGCTCCGAGGTCAACGAGGGAAGGAGAGAGCGCTGGGCTTGGTTGCTGAAGCACCCTTGGCACAAAACCCAGAGCAGCCTCTTGGTGTCACTGGCTGCCAAGTAGCTAAATCCAAGCTGTTGGGTGCTGCCGTCCACCACCCGCCTACAGCCACCCAGTGAAGCCAGCTCAGCTGCCTACTTTTCACCACTGGGAGAGCAAGGCTCCCTAGCTCTTTCCATCTCCACCACTGTCTCTCTGGTTGGGGAGCAAGGGCTAGTGAGCTCTTAGTTCATGAAACATGTGCACACCTACCTGTTTGCATGCATAGATGTGTGCCTATTGTAGGATTACCATAAGCTACGGAGGATGGGGCTCCTATTTCTTTAAAGTCACGTGGAACAGAGAATTTCAGTTGGCGTAGTTCATTCTTCAACAGAGAGGGGAAAGCTGCTCTGCACGCCCACAGAAATTCTTCCTTCAACATCATACAAAGCTACACATTTGTTCCTGGGCTCTATTCAAGTTGCTGAGACTGACCTTTGAATGGTTTGTGATATGGGCAATCAAAGGACCAATCATTCCTGGAACCCTATGCCCAGGATCCAAATTTCATAGGGTGGTTTGGAGGCACCCCCAATAAGCAAAGGAAGGACTTCTCCACCAAATGTTGCAACTCCCCACCCCTGGAAGAGGTTCTGCCCCAAGCTAGTCGATCACTTTTTCTCTAGAAGAACAGATAATCACCACTTAAGTACAGTACAGAATTTCAGTACTAATATTGGCTTGTTGCAGGGGGCCAAGGTTGTCCCCATATTCAGCCATCAGGTTTTATTGGTATTACCTGTGTTCTTTCTCTGGATGCTTTCTCCTATACAGCTAACCAACATGGTGCCCTTGTGACCATGTTGGACTACAACTCCCATCAACCCAAGCCAGCATTGCCAATGGTCAGAGATGATGGGAGTTGTAGTCCATAAAACATTTGGAAGGCACATTGGCTACCTTGTTTTGATTTGTGTTTGTGCCTTTAAAACTCTGGTTCCTCCTTACATTTCCAGACATTTTATTTTTCAAATCAAGCTCAGTCGCTTCTCATCTGTTGAGCAAAATAAGGTAAGGAAGAAGGCAATAGGCAGATCGGTCCCCCAGTGGAAGCTCAGTCTTCGAGGGTCAGCATTCAGACCTTCTGAGCTTTCTCTGAGGACAGGCCAACTTGCAAGCCAAAGCAAGATGGCCACAGTGAAACACATTGGGAGAAGGTAGGGTGGGTCACAAAAGGACATTGGTTAAGGCCAGGAGAAGGAATGGAATCAAGAGGGTAACCAAACTGGTATGGACATCAGTGGCTGCCAATTTCTCATGTGTGGTGTCTTCAATCCAGTCCATGAAGGAGGTGACTAGGGTGTAGATGCCGGGTTGAGAGCTCTCCACACAACCAAATGTTATGCTCACTCCAGTCAGGAACCAGACATCATTCTGCTGACAGACTAGAGGTCCCCCTGAGTCGCCCTGCCAAGAAAAGGAGACAGGGTCTCCATTACTCTCTTGAGAAGAGGCACCAAAATGCACAGAGGGTTTGATAACCTGAAACAAATTGCATGAATGTGTTTATTTATCACACTGGTGTCCATTCCTGTTTCTCGTTTTCCAAGTTTGAAGTTCAGTTCTCCACATTTCCACATCAGCTGGCAACTGTTTTTAATAAAAAAAAGTCCTCATGAAATTTAATCAGTGTTTGAGAGCAAATTTCTCCTGATATGAATATTTTTGTACACCATTTTGCCTAATATGCACATTTTTTGCAAAGCAATTGCCTCTGATATAATTCAATTTTACATGCTATTTTGACTAACGTATGTATTAACGCACACACTTTGCTTTGGCACATGCATTTTTGTACATATTACTTGACTGGGGAACTACACTGCCAAAAAAAGCCCCCCCAAAACATATTTCAAAGGATGGCTGTGTTTGTTTTGCAAAGTGCAAATAAGGTAGCTTTGCCTTAAATGCAAACCGAATTAAAAAAAAAATTCCCTTCTCTATCCTAACAAACTGGCATTATATTATGTGACATATTGCTGCTATTCTTTGAGATAATATAAGATCAACACCACTGCCTGTATTTCTGGACTCTCTTGGAGTGTGGTGGGATGGCACTGTCATGACACATACCGCAAAATTTACCACTACACCACCGTCTATATTTTCCAGGGCTGGACACTGCTACTGAAAACAAGTTTTGGTTCGGCTGTGATGACCACAAACTCACAATATTTCTGCCATCGTAGCCTCACAGGCTGCTCCTGTCCCCGCCCTGCGATATCCTACATCATTGCTATAATACTCTGGTTCATGATTCTTACAAAGCAGGCATGCTTCCCAACTTCTGGATACCCAGCACAGATCATGTCATCATAGATGAACCTGTAGCCCTTGGGGATGGTCTTGTCACTACTTATGTTGTGATAGACTCCGTTGCAGTCTTCAGCTTCTACGATCAGCACTTCCGCCTTCTGTAGGGTCTGAGTGACTAGGGAGCCTTGGGCAAAAGAAAGGAAGCATAAGACACAGTCTCAAATTTCACCAGACAACATTCATTACAGCCTTACTGGTTTTTAAGAGCCGACCAGCACATAGTTTGCTGGTTTGGAACACAAAGTTGCCCAGCTTGTAAAGGATGGGCATGTTCTGAATCAGGCTTCATTCCCCACAAAAAAAATTCTGCAGCTCAGTGATACAGACCACCCTAGCTCTTTCATCAAATCACAACAAAGTGGTTAACAGTGATACCTGCATTGCAAGGGGATGGACTAGGACTCTTTGGGTCCCTTCCAACTCTACTATTTTATGGTTCTATTGGGAACCAACTTAGTAGTCAATAGCACCTCCACCAGGCTGGAAGGTCAGCTCACTAGCTGTGCAACTATGCCCCTAAGAAGTGAGGGACGGGCCAGAAGAGGAGGTGGCCTGTATCCACCTGCATCCTTTGGGTCATGCTCTCTGCCAAGGCCAGGTGGAACTTAAGACTGGCTTCAGGGTGAGGTTCAAGCTGGGCACCAGGCAGCATCAAAGCTGAATGCAGGGACCCAAGCTATGCCCCACAACCACAAAGCTACTTTGTTGATTCAGCAGGAGCAAGCTGAGTCTCAGCCCTCTAGAACAGCAGCACAGCTGAGTCTTCATGGTGAACCCCACACATCCTGGAAGATGCTACCTTGCTTAAAGGAGACCAGCTCTCTCCACTAGCCTCATGCTGTGATGGGGTTGGGTGAGTCTCTGGTCACGCTTGGCCCTCCATGGAGTCTTCCCAGTCCAAAGATGGCAGTGCCACCTCCTTTGGCTGGGGTCATGCTGGCCCTACGGGTTCCTCTGGTAGAACTGCTTCTGGGGTGCACTTGAAGGGGACACTGAAACCTGGTTCCTGACACTTTTCTACCATGCTTTCCCCTACTTGTGATCATTGTTATGGGGGCGCTCCTGCCATCTTCCCAACTTCTTATCAACACAGTTTCCTGTCTTCCTAGTCAATATGATTCCCAGCCTCCCACCTAAACCCTTCTTCTCCCCTAAAGCCACAAAACAGCACCATCATCTCCAATAAACAGCCTGACTTAGCAAGACCCCAAGCTTGTTCTTACCTCCTTTAAAGGGGACGCCCCAGCCAGCAAGCCAGCACATCATCCCTCCATAGAAGACAAAAGGTTGAAAAGTATTTGGGAGGCAGACAGGCAAAATCATTTTGGAGAAATGCACTGCGTTTGCCAGCTGCACCAGAGCAATATCGGCACTAAGGCCAACTCCAGCATAAAACGGGTGTACTATGATCTTGTTGACGCTGGATGAGAACATGGCAGCTGTGGGTGCAGTGAGCTCATATTCCCCCAGGTTTACTCTGTACTCACGTACATTCAGTGGCCTGTGGGAGATAAGGAGCAATCAGTGACTTGTGCAGTGGAAAGGCTTGTGTTCAAATCCTTACTCAGCTCTGAAGTTCACTAGGAATCCTTTGGAAAGGAGCCCACTCTATCTTCAGAGGGTTGCTGGGAGGCTAATCATCAAGCAGTTTCCTCAGAAGAAAACCCACCCCCCCCCCACACACACATATAGGATTTGCTTCCATAGAAACAGGCTTAGATTTTCAGAGAAAAATGGATGAAGTTCCCAAGCGCTGTTCCTGGCTTCTGACACATGCTCTAAACCATTATAATACACCAAATAAGGCTTTAAATCAAGCAGACACTGTGCACTCTCCTTCCTCGGAGGTTTTTAAGCAGAGGTTGGATGGCCATCTGCCATGGATGTTTTAGCTGAGATTCCTACATTGCCGGGGGTTGGACCAGACAATCCTGAATGTCCCTTCCAACTCTACAATTCTATGCATCAGTTGCCAGCATAATAGTGTTAATTCTGCATTTGACATGATGAACTCTTAACTATGAGTAACTATTATAACTATTATTAATGTTGTATTTTATTAAAGTGAATTAATATTACACTTTAGAGAGTCACATTTCAAGTTGTTAACTCTAAACATAGTTTCCAAATTTTCCCATTTTTGGTATCAGCAACATGGATTTCTTTCACTGAAGAATTTCAGTGGTGATGCTGGATCACATGGTGTTGATGATGATTTGTAATCAGGCCCTTCATCCCAAAGGAGCTCAGGGTGGCAAATAGCAAAATGTTAAAACAGTGCAAATGTAAAATCAAGTAAAAGCATTTAAACACAATTTAAAACCGTCTAAACGAATTTAGAGCCTCTAAGAATCCTTTAAAAGCAATTACATTCCCTCATCAAATTCAGGGTTGCCATGACTTGTACCTCTTGGCCATCAGATGCCTGAGTCAACAGGAATGTTAATAAATTTCAAATGAAACCAATACAGAGGAAAACAGGAGCATCTCACCAGGGAGGGCATTCCATAAATGGGGAACCACCAGTGAGAAGTCCCTGTCACACCGTGTCATAGGTCATGCTAACTGGGCAGCAACCAGAAGTGGCACCACCAACAGGGCGTCCCGGGCCAATCATATGGCTCAAAATGGTTGATTAGACAATAATAATAATAATAATTTATTATTTATACCCCGCCCATCTGGCTGGGCTTCCCCAGCCACTCTGGGCAGCTCCCAACCGAATATTAAAAACACAACACAGCATTAAGCATTAAAAACTTCCCTAAACAGGGCTGCCTCCAGATGTTTTTTAAATGTAAGGTAGTTGTTTATTGACATCTGATGGGAGGGCGTTTCACAGGGCAGGCGCCACTACCAAGAAGGCCCTCTGCCTGGTTCCGTGTAACCTCACTTCTTGCAATGAGGGAACCGCCAGAAGGTCCTCTGCGCTGGACCTCAGTGTCTGGGCTGAACAATGGGGGTGGAGACGCTCATTCAGGTATACAGGACTGAGGCTGTTAAGGACTGAGGGCTTTAAAGGTCAGCACCAACACTTTGAATTGTGCTCAGAAATGTACTGGGAGCCAGTGCAGATCTCTTGGGACTGGTGTTATATGATCTCGGCGGCCATTCCCAGTCACCAGTCTAGCTGCTGCATTCTGGATTAATTGCAGTTTCCGAGTCACCTTCAAAGGTAGCCCCATGTAGAGCACACTGCAGTAGTCCAAGCAAGAGATAACAAGAGCATGCACCACTCTGGCGAGACAGTCTACAGGCAGGTAGGGTCTCAGCTTGCATACCAGATGAAGCTGGTAGACAGCTGCCCTGGACACAGAATTAACCTGTGCCTCCTTGGACAGCTGTAAGTCCAAAATGACTCCCAGGCTGCGCACCTGGTCCTTCAGGGGCACAGTTACCCCATAATAATGGTTGGCTGCACTGATCTTCCCAACAGGCTGCTTTCGACTCACCCATCAAAGCAATGGGCAGCTGTCACCACCCACTGAGATGAGATCAGGCTTCCACCGCACACATGTACCCTGTTCCTTCGGATGCTGACGGTCCACGGCCATTCCCCTTCATCAGCTTCCTGCCACCCAGATAAACGAGTGGTGTGCTTCACTTCAGGCTGGCCGCAGGCTGCAGGAAGGAACCCGGAGCAGTCAGAGGGGCAGGGAGCAAAGCTAAGATTGATGAACACCTGCCCCTTGTAGCTATGGACTCACATATCTTCCTCACCTGGTTGAGCAGAATTTTTATTGGTACCTGCAAAAGGAAAGGAGGCAGGAGTCAAGAAGGCAGGGTGGGAAATTGTGAGCATTAAGGTGGAGCAGTGGTGGCTGGTCCCCATTGGGACTGATAGGGTGGGAGGCAAGGAGGCCAACAGTAGGTGGTGCCAGAGCTGGCAGAGCCAACTAATTTTCATTTTGCCCCCATCCTCCTCCCTACTGAATTCTACAAGGGGGGAGAAAGCTGCCAGTTAGTGCTACCTTCAGGACTAGAAGCAAGGAAGGAGAATGAGACTTTGTGCTGACCACCAGGCAAGGGCTTTTTCCACCAGGCAAGGGCTTTTTCTACCTGCAGGGGGCAGGGGGAGAGCCAGTGTGGTGTAGTGGTTAAGAGCGGTAGACTCGTAATCTGGGGGACTGGGTTCGCGTCTCCGCTCCTCCACATGTAGCTGCTGGGTGACCTTGGGCCAGTTACACTTCTCTGAAGTCTCTCAGCCTCACTCACCTCACAGTGTGTTTGTTGTGGGGGAGGAAGGGAAAGGAGAATGTTAGCCACTTTGAGACTCCTTAGGGTAGTCATAAAGCGGGATATCAAATCCAAACTCTTCTTCTTCTTCTTCCCTGGTAAAGACCCTGATGTTGGATAAGATTGAGGGCACAAGGAGAAGGGGACGACAGAGGATGAGATGGTTGGACAGTGTTATAGAAGCAACCAACATGAATTTGACGAAACTCCAGGAGGCAGTGGAAGACAGGAGCGCCTGGCATGCTCTGCTCCATGAGGTCACAAAGAGTCAGACACGACTAATCGACTAAACAACAACATTATGTTATTGATATTTATTGTTTATAAGCCACTTTGTGACTCGTGTGAATGAAAAGTGGCATAGGAAGGAAGGAAGGAAGGAAGGAAGGAAGCAGGCAGGCAGGAAGGCAGCTGGGGTTTGCCTGAGGGTAGACTGATGTGATGGATAGCCTCCATGGAGATGAGCCCACAGGAACGCCAAGCTGGTCTATGGTGAAGTGTGGCCATGTCAAGAGCATGACAGAGCAAGTCACTAAAAAGCCACCAATGGCCAAAAGGAGATACCTTGGGAAGCTTCTAACACAGCAATGAATCTGCCTCTGGGGTGTTGATAATAAACATCTTCTGAGTTTGGTAGCACAGAAATAGGTGCACGGAGGAAATCCAAACCTCCCAAAAGTCGTTGAAAGGCAGACCATGTTTTGGTCCAGCTAAGACTTAGCCACAAGTCTGATCATACAGTACCAGAAAACAGAATTCAAGTCCTCCCACGTTCCAGACTCTGGGCTCCAAATACACAAAGACATCTCTTTTCAATCACACATTAGAGTTGCCAGCCAGATTCTGGCAGGGTCCCAGTGCATTTGATTTCTGCTTGCAAGGGATCAACAAGTGAAATCTTCCCCAATATTGCATCTCCAAAAGAAAAGCAACCCATTTGAATGTTTCCATAAGATGCAGTGGGTCTGGCAAGGGCAAAAAGTGTTCCCAGAGCAGAGGATATAGTTTAAGTATTTGGGGCCCTGGATCTCATTTCTCAAGGCCCCTTAATTCCCACCAAACTTTCACAACTGCTTTAACAGCTAGAGTCCGCACCTAAGAATCTGCATATCCCCTGGCTTCTAGGGCCTCTTGCTATGACCCACTGTCCTTTCAGTTAAAGTATCCTTGCCCTTTTGCTGCTTCCACTTTCTATCCCAACCCCAATTCCTCCCGCCCCCAAGAGAATCCTGGAGTCCTGGATCATTCCTTCCCAAAAACAAGCAAAATTGGCAGCTCAGATGGGACACAGAATGGCTGCCATGCCTGGAGGGAAAGAGAACAGGGATAGTTCTCACATTCCCAGGGGACCACACAAACAAATATACACCCCTCCTTTTTTTTATATATATATAATATTTATTGGTATTACGAAAATTCCAAAACATAAAAAATACAGATTTTCAAAGACAGAAAACAACAATAACAGTAACAAAAGGAAAACAAAGAATAACAATAAAACAGAAAAATTTAAAAATTTGTAATTTCATTTAACCTTCTATTCTTTCCTTGGTTCTTTGACTTCCCCGCACCTCCCCACTTGTATTTCCTTTTAGAAACTCCTTTCAGCAAATCCTTACCCTCCTTCCTTTATCTTAACTCAAGAAACTTAATCTATTTATATATAGATATTTTTACAACCTTATCAATCAAATATTCCATACTCTTAAATGCGAGGCTTTTGCCAATACCAGTTATTTTCAATCAGACCTCAATTTAATAAATATACACCCCTCCTGATGCCTCACCTCTCAGCAACAGGAGGAGGAGCACAATCTGGGAAGAGCAGAAACTCAGCATAGTCCGGGCAGCCCTGGATCATCCAACTCTGATGCCAACCAGAGAAGAGACTGCTGGGCTTGGCTGCTTAGTCCAAGCAACCTTTGCAGGATCAGTGCACCAGGGAAAGGGCACAACCCAAGAGCTGGTGGTTATTGTCCTGGTGGAGTCTGCTTAGCTGTTCTTTCAACATCTACCACTCCATTCACGATATTTATTTGCAGAAATTTCTACACCACAAATAATGAGAAAAAGGATAATGTTGGTGAACAGCATAAAACAAACAATAAAACATGACAGTAATAATACTGGCCTATCTCATAGGTGGGGGGGGGGTTAGGAGAAATGAGGTAATATAGAATTTGGGGGAATAATATAAAATTTGGAGGACTGATACAATACAGAATTTGGGGGATGGCTTCTGATCACAGGTTGTGGTCTGCCCTGCCCTCTATTTAAGCCAGCAAAGCACAACCGCTGTGCGACAAAACCCAACAGGTAAATGATCTTCAGCTCTGCCCACAGTAGCACTCAGTGTAAACTCAAACACCATCCCATCTCCTCCCAGCCTTTATCCACATCCCAGCCCTAAAGTTGTCAAGGCCCCCAGCACCCCAAGGCCTGAAGGGCAAGGGGGTGGGGCTTGTGGTGTCGTGATGAGGCAGAGCCACATGATGTCAAAAAGTTGTAAACCCCTGAAAGTCAAAACTCTGCTATAAGGTAACAGCAGCAGGCAACGGGGTAGATGAATCTGTCATTTCAGCTTTTCCCAGTCATTACACATTCCCTCCTCAAAAATGAACATTTCTCCTAATATTTGTATAGTTGTGCACAATTGTTCCTAGTAGAGGCATGTTTTGCAAGCAAAACCTCCTTAACAAAATGCATTTTTGTACATTATTTTCACTAATACACACATTTTTGGATGCACATTCTTTTGAAGAGCTGCATCTGACTATTCAGGCAAGTGCAATTTTCAAAGGAGACAGCTGTGTTCCTATTCACATATTGGTTCAGAAACTTCAATTCATTCATTTTTAACCTATCCTTACTACAGAGTGCATACCAGATTGCTGTTGAAACGATTAATTCCCATTCCAACTGACACAAACGGGATATGAGGGAAACTTATGCCAGTTACTTTTGGAGGGTTTACCACTGCTACTGACCCACTCATGGGGGCTATGAGGTCAATTTAGTACAGTGGTACGTCAGGTTAAGTACTTAATTCGTTCTGGAGGTCCGTTCTTAACCTGAAACTGTTCTTAACCTGAAGCACCACTTTAGCTAATGGGGCCTCCTGCTGCTGCCGCGCCACCGGAGCACGATTTCTGTTCTCATCCTGAAGCAAAGTTCTTAACCCGAGGTACTATTTCTGGGTTAGCGGAGTCTGTAACCTGAAGCATATGTAACCTGTAGCGTATGTAACCCAAGGTACTACTGTATTTGCAAGCTGCCTTCAGTCCCATCAGTGAAAAAGGTGGGGTATTAATAAATTTATTATTACTATTATTATTAGTAGTAGTAGTAGTTATGCCAGGTTACTGCTCAAAGTGAATTGAGCATGCATAAGAGGAGTTTGGACTAGATGACCCACAGAGCCCCTTCCAACTCTACAAGTCTATGATTCTTTGATCTCTTCCTGCCTATTTTCTTGCAATACACTTCTTGTTGTCACCAATTCCAAGCTACTTGAATCAGGAGTGCCAACTTGGTCCCGCGACTGTGGGTGCCCAGGGCCGTGGGTGCCATGCAGCGTGCATGGCCTTGGCACCAAAATTTGTGGGTGCCAAGTCCCTTCATGGGGATTTTTATGGGTGCTCAGGCACCCAGGGCCCCAGGGAGTTGGCACTTATGACCTGAACCACTCCCAAGTCCAATCTTTATTTCTAACAAACAAAACAATACAACTGCTTCAAAGCAAAGTGGATGGAGTGTGGGTGGAGGAATGGAATGGAGTGGTGGGGCAGGACAGGGCATGGTGGACTAAACACCGCACCCCACCTCCCACTGGTCAAATAAAATATTGATTGGACAACATAGTGCCTGCTGGCCCCTGGTGGCGAGACATGGAAGCACATGCAGATATGCCTAGCAGCCATTTGGTCCAATTGCCCAACTTCATTGTATACTTCAAAATAGTCAATAATTTGTACTAATTTTTGACTCTGGAAGGTGGCCTCGTGGCCGTGACATCAGCCTGATGAACTCCCCACCACCACCCCATTTTGCTTCATCCCCCTGCTTCATATAACATTTTGCCTGGTGAAGAGCTCTGCGGAACCCGAAAGCTTGCCACGCTTCTGTGGCATTTGATTTAATAATGTATTAAGATTTTAGAGGAGTGTGGTTCCTCGTGGGGCAACATGGCTACATTTGTTTTGTTTTTTTTACAGAACTTGGTTGTATTTGTATGCAGATTAACATTTTCAAAAGGCACTCCCAACATTTCTCCAGATGTTTTCAAATGTACACTTTGTTGAACCTTGAGCCTTAAATTTAGGCTCAATACTATGATTGGGAGCTTAAACTGGTTTGTTAAGCAGGGTCCTGGGCAGCTCACTGGCTGGGGTTTCTCCTAGGCTAGAGGAAAAGTGAACGCTGATACATACAACACAATAGAAATAGCAATTTCCCAGTCACCTGGACAATAGGGAGAAGCAAGTGCAAATCTCAAGTGCGATCACAAAGCGTACATGTCAGGAAGATGGCCTTTTCCTGATATGCAAGGTTTACACGCGCAAGCTTGTGGCAAGGGGAGAGGTTGTGCACAGGTGTTAGGGAATCCTCACCTCCCTGTAGTCATAACTGACCACACCCTGGAATAATCCCTTATCATTGAGACTCCAGTAATTTTGTAAGAAGCTGGCCCTTTCTACCTGTAGTTGTCAGATTATGGCTACATGTAAATGTAACGATGCATTTTGTCGCGCATAAAAATCGCACAGGGATTCCACAGGTCTCCTCCAAAAGCAGTAATGAATGAGTCAAGGATTGGTGCAAAGAGAAGAGCCTCTCTTCTCCAGCCAGCATCCAAACTGTCAGTTGGCTGCCGTTATGAGGGAGCTATGGACTCTCTAGAGTCCATGAAACACAATGCTACAAAATGGTGGTCCTTCCATGAAGTGGGGGGGGGTCCTTCTCAAGATGGCAGCAGCCTCAGTCCACAGTTGACCACCTCATCCCAGTGGTCGTTGGGCAGCCTCCTTTGGCTCGGGGATGCGGAAACGACCTTCCTAAGATGGCTCCCGGCGATCGCCGTTTCTATCCTTGCTTTCTAAGGCTTGCTGTCAAGGCTTAGACAGGGTTAAAACACCAGTGATAAGGATTAAATGCTTCCCCGGAGAACAGAGAGACGCAGGAGCCTTGACAGACGGACAGCATGACGGCAACCTTTGACCTCCCCCAAACTGGCGGAAGCAAGCCCCCCGCGCTGCCGCCTCATAAAATGGGGCTTGGGAAAAGAATCTATGTGCGGAGACGACCTTCTCAGCATGGCTGCGTTTGAGCGCGCCCTTCGCAAGATGGCGGCGATTCCTGTCATAACCCGCCTGCCTTCCTCGCCCCGCCCGCACCACCACCACTCTCCGCTCTCTCTTTTATCTCTATGGTTCCTTCTCGAGCGTCCCTTTGACTTAGTTGTCTATGGTCTTCCGCACCCAATCGAAAGCAGCCGAGCGCTCCCGAAGCGCATGCGCCGCTCCGCTCCTTCCGTCAAACCCGGCTGGGCCGTCCCGAGGTTGCGGTGCATGTTGGGATACTGGGGGTTCTGCTGCTTTTTCCTCTCTGGGGGGTCTGGGCTGAGGTTGCGGCTGCAGAGATGGTGAGTAGGGGAGGGGGAGCAGGAGAGGAGGGAGGGGGGACAGTCGGCAATAATAACAATAGTGCTGGTAGTAATAATAGTGGCAGGGATAGGGATACTCTCCCTCCCACTTCCTCCGCCGGCCCCCGCCCCTCCGCCGGCCCCCTTCACCCTTTTCTACACCCCCCATACCCCAGGTTTAAGCATCTCCCTCCCGACCCCCAGCGCCTCCTCCCCCCCCACTCCGCCCCATCTTCTTCATATATTCATTTCTTTTTGCCCTCTTACCCTCCAGTCCCCCTGTTCTCTGCCTCCCCCTCACCCCCTACCATCTTATTTCGTGGCAACCATCCCTTTCCCCTTTTTGGGTGGCAACCCTTTCCGGCCCCCCTCAGTTTCCCTTGTCCAAACGGGAGGAGGTCCCTCCGCGTCTCGTCCTCTTCTTCCCTTTCCTGTTTCCCTCTCTGCCCAGCATTGGGTGTGTGCGCTCCCTTGTTGTTGTTCACACTAATAATAGCGTCCAGGCGGTGTTTTTTTTAATCCTCCCCTTCCTCCATGAAGCCCAGGGCCGTGTTTGTGGTTCTGCTCCGGCCCCCGAAATTTAATGCTTGCAACAGCCCTGTGTGGTAGGTTGGGCTGGGAAGGGATGATTGGCACACGGTCGAGCAGGAAGTTTCACAGTCCCCGCCCCTTTTTTCTGGGAGAATCTGAACTCTAGCCCCACTCTAGAATGCACCCATGACACCCAATGACCTGGTTATAGTCCTTTCTGTCTTTCTGCAAAGCGTGCCTCATTTCTACTGTCACCCACCCACCAACATCTATCGTGTGTTGGTAATTCTGGCATGCCACAAATGCACGTTAACACACACAGACTATGGTTGCATTGTGTTGTGGAGCATCACTAGCAAATAGGGAAGAGGATGAGATTCCTGTGTTAGGTGACCTCTTATCTAAGATTTCCACCCACTCCCTAGTAAGGTTAAATGAGCTGTTTGACACTTCTCAAGCAAGGTTGTCCATGCTGCTTTATGTTGACAAAAAAGCCAAGAAGAAGTTGAGGGGAGTGGAAAATGCATTCAATGATATTTCAGGATTACAGGAGTGACAAGGAAAGGTTGAAGAGCCTGAGTGCTCTTAGTTTGTGGAGCAGGATGGGGGAATAAGACTTTTCAATATAAGAGGTTGCTTGAAGCAGGATGTCAACCTACAGCCACTGAGAGTTGGTGAGAGAAAGCTGTATTTGTTCTATTATTGTTTTTGTTGTTATTTTACTCCATCCTTCTTTGGGCTTCAAGGGGTGGGACAGGACTTGGGTCTCATCCTGTCCTATAGTGGGTCAAGACACCAATCTTTTCTTGTTTCCAAATTAAACTTGAGAGAAGGGGGGAAGTGTTTGAAGGTGGCTTCTGTGTCTGAAAATGCAGAAGACAATTGCTCTAGGGAGCTGAGGGAAGCATACACAGTCATTCTCACCCCACCCCACCCCACCCCACGCAATGTTATCGTCAAAACCACACTGTGAGGTATGGTAGACTAAAGGAAAGTGACTAGCCTAAGATCACCCAGTCAGCAGGAGTGTCATACAGATTTTCTTACTCCGGGAGATGTAACCAGCAAAGGATTGGTTTGTGTAGAATGGGTTGATTAAGCATCAGATAAGAGAGGCTTCCTTTCATGGTGAAGGGGAAGCTAAATGGCCTTTCAGGGACCCTCAAATTCTTAATGGAAAGGTATCCAAGACAGTCCTAAGATTTTCAACAGAGGAGAAAAGACTTCGGATTACACCTCAAAGAAAATGAGGTGGAAAATGATGCCCACATATGTGAGAACAAAGGCTAATGTGGATACTTGAAATTATGTATCTGCATTATATGCAGTGTCAAAACTGCTACACTACCTATTGTGGGGTATTATTGATTTAGAATTTGTCAGCCCTAAAGAGGAAAGATGTTGAGTCTTCCCCTGAAACAAGATCCAGTGAACAGATTTAGAAATCAAAATACTGGGCCGATGGGGAGGAAACAGTCTGCATTTGGAGCTCTTTATCACTGTTGTTACCGTATTTCAGTGCATGAACATTTGACCTTGCAATAATGAGACAAGTTGGGGTTCTTTCAGTTTCAACATGAATGAAGACTGTTCCATGCTAGTTTAACTTCTTAAAGGATATTTATTTATTTTATTTATGAATTGTTTCCTATGAAACATCTGAAAGTGATTTAATTAAAATACAATAAAAACATTAAACCACTGCATATGTAAAAAATAATTTCGGATCCCATTAGAATAAAAAAAAACCTTCACTTAGAAGGCTAGTTGAGAGAAGTAAGTCTTCCACAGGTGCTGAAAAGCCAATATAAACACCACATGATGTGCAGCAGTTGCTGTCCATTGAGCACTTTGACTTGCATACCTGCAAAATGCTGGTTAGTACCATGAAAACATGGTATTAACCTTGTTTACCCAAATTCAAAAGAAATAAGTTACACCTGGATGCTGTCATTGTGCCCGGGGCATGTTGCACCTTGTGCCAAAAGAATTTTAAGGACTAGTCTACACATGCAGCAGAATGAGTTGGTTGGATACTGAGGTGGTAGAGCAGACTTTACCACATCAGGACGCAGGTGGGACACCACACTTTGGACTGCTCCTCCATGTAAAAACGCCCTGAAAGCAGAAAACTAGAACACCAGAAATGTTTTCTAACAAAAGTGGAGTTGTTTTTTGTTTTTAAACTTGGGGGGGGTTGAAAATGTTGCTTTTTCCCCACCTACAGTCTGAAGTGGTTCAGTGCCTTCCACCAACTTGTACAGCTTTCAGGGTGTCTTTGTTTGGTTCAAACAACTGTTAAGGAGAAGATCACCTTCATTGCATGCAAAAAAAAATCCTGGGTTGGTGTCTCCAGTTGAAAGGATTGGGGAGATGGTGGTGGGAAAAGCTGAAGCCATAGAAAGCCAGTGTCAGTCAGAGCTGAGCTAATAGGTCAAATAGTCAGACATAGTATAATGCAGGTTTCCATAGTTGCTCCAACCTGTAAATAGCCACTCATATGGACACTTGTGAAAGGTCATAACTGCCTTTATGGAAGTGAGTAGGAACGCTCTTGAGAACTTAGAGGTTCTCTCTTCTTTCTTTTTAAAGTTATAAATGGCTTCCATGGCTCAAGCTCCTGAAAAGGTGTTGTGCATCAGAGAATACTTGCTCACCATCCATTGCCACTTTTCCATTTGACAGGACGTCTTTTTAATGATCCGACGTCACAAGACGACCATCTTCACAGACGCCAAGGAGTCCAGTACGGTGTATGAGCTGAAAAGAATTGTTGAGGGGATACTTAAGAGACCCCCAGAAGAACAAAGGCTATACAAGGTAACGGGGGGCGCTTTTTCTCACTGCAGAGCATACCCCAATATCCCCTCTATTGCAGCTATTATAATAACGGCTGGTCTGGTCAACTTTTGTATATGGTGTGGGTGGAGAGAGAGATAATGTCCTTTGCCTAGGCGGGCAAAATTATCTCAGGGCCAACCCTGGGCAGCGGTGATGCCCCTGGGATTCCCCCTCGTCCTTAGTCCCTGCCCTCTCAGGGTAATGCCACTGCCCACAAATGGAGTAGAGCAGAGCTGAAGGCTGTGGGGGGCCTTCCCATTGTGAAAAGCATAGGGTTGCGGATTTACCAAACACGTTGGCTTAATTTTTCCCTCCGCTCCTCTCACAGCCTGCTGGAATGCCCCAGAACAAGTCTTGAAATATCAGCTCTACACTTCAACCCTACTGTTGCTCATTAAACACCCATCCCCATCACTCCCCCCCCCCCAGGATGCATGCTGTTGTGACAGTGGTGTGTGCCTTTGCATGCTCCAATCTGTTATGGGGCCACATTGCAGCCTGTCCTCACAGAGGCAATCTCTGCTGTTCTTTACCCACCCCACTGCAGCAGAAGTTGTGTTGTGCTACCAGGTTAGTTTTTGGGGGGTTTTTTGCATTGCTAAGATTTAATTTGTTGTGCAATTGCCACTTCACCCTCCAGGATGACCAACTGTTGGATGACAGCAAAACCCTCGGAGACTGTGGCTTCACCAGCCAGACAGCACGACCTCAGGCCCCAGCAACAGTTGGCTTGGCCTTCAGAGCCAGTGGTGAGTTGGGGTGTTTTGCTTTCTAGATTTGGGAAGGGGAAGGAATAAAAATTATTTGTTCCATGCATCTGTTGTTTGCCCTACAATTTGGGTACTTTTAGGCTGACTAGCCATTAAATCACCTGTTGCCATTCACGTTGGTGGAAATTATCAGGGCACCCGTTGCCTTGTGCAGGAATGAATCGGTGGGAAGAATCTGGATGCTGCCAAATCCTTGGCTTTTTCTCATGACCCTTTTTGACAAGGCGAATAGTGCGTAGCTGCTGCTGCTTTGGGGCAGAAAGCTGTCTTGCAGCGCAAAGGAATATGGGGAAAGCCGATAGGTAGTTTCTTTCCCCTTAGTTTGCAGGAGGCAAAGCAGAGAAATGCTACAATAATTTCACCCAATTCAAAGCATCTGTGTGAAACAGTATAGAAGTAAAATCCTCTTTTTAAGAAAGACTTGTGTTGGGGCTGATGTGGGAGTAAGCAGCTGCTATTTTGCATCACTCTCTGCTCACCCATGCCTTTACAAAAGCTTTCAGCTCAGGGGTTGGAAACCTCAGGCCTGGGATACAAATGCGGTCCTCTCTGCCTGGTCTTCAGAACTCTTCCCCAGGACACATCCGTGCACCAGCCATGCTTTGCATCCTCCTTGTGTCTTTTTGACTGTCTGAAACCTGTCCTTGAACTTGCGGCGATGCCTCTCGTTTGCCTAGATAGAAAGGGGTGTGCGAGTGTGTGTTGAAAATTAGCCTACTGTGCAAATGGAAAATTTGCCTTTGTTGCTCTGCACTCTTTGACCGCAGGCCTTGTCCACCACCCTTGGGCCGCTCTTGGTTGACTTTTGGAATTGTTTGGTTCCAGCCTTGCTAGTTGACAGCTTGCACAAATTCAAACTTACTGTGTCGTCTTCTCCTCTTTCTCCTCTCGTGCAGAAGATGCCTTTGAGCCCCTCCGCATTGATCCCTTCTCCAGCCCCCCGGAGCTCCCAGACGTGATGAAGCCCCAGGACTCTGGCAGCAGCGCCAACGAGCAAGCGGTGCAGTGAGAGGCCAGAGGGAGACGGAGCGAGCTGCACAACCCGTGGCGCCCCTTCCCCACCACCCACTCCCTCCCTCAACCCTCCAGCGTGGAGAGAGACATGGCACTGTCCCACCCCTCCAATCCAGCTCCCCCTTTTACTCCACCCCTCTCTATACAAGACCACACCTCCTTCCAAGCCCCTCCCCACTCATCAAACAGAGCAATGTTTTCATTTTTGGTTTTGGAAACAATAAAAGTTCAGCTGGTTTTTTTTTCCCCTTGTCTTGTGTTGTGGGCCTGTGCTATGAAACACAAAAAGAACCCTGCTTTCGGGGACTGGGATCATGTCGTGACAACTAGCGAAAGTTTATGCCACACTGAATTTGTGGTGGTCTTTGAGATTCCAGCAAGCAGTCTTACGAGACCTTAAAGACTAGGACAGGCTCCCACTCTGGAATTTGTTGTGTGCTAAAAATGCTCTTCTAAGCCCCAGGGTAGGTATATTGTCACCGAACAAATGTTAATAGCCATCTTCCATCATGCTGGTGGGAACTTGAGTCCAACAACTTTTTTATTATTGGATTATCACATTGCAGAGCCAGTGTGGTATAGTGGTTAAGAGCGATAGACTCATAATCTGGGGAACCGGGTTCACTTCTCCGCTCCTCCACATGCAGCTGCTGGGTGACCTTGGGCCAGTCACACTTCTTTGAAGTCTCTCAGCCCCACGCACCTCACAGAGTGTTTGTTGTGGGGGAGGAAGGGAAAGGAGAATGTTAGCTGCTTTGAGACTCCTTCGGGTAGTGATAAAGTGGGATATCAAATCCAAACTCTTCTCTTCTTCTTAAAGATGACTCAGAAACTCAACTAGTCCAAAATACAGCAGCCAGATACTGACTTGGGTTCTGTTGGATCTCATAGAACCCCTTTAAAAACAGCTGCACTGGTTGCCAGTTCATTTCTGGGGCCAATTCAAGGTGCTCACATTCATGTGTGAAGCCCTAAATGACTCAGGCCCCAGCTACATTAAATACCACCTCCTTCCCTACAGACCCTCTCAAGTGCTGAGAGGCAGAGGGACCATCTTGGTAGTTCCTCTGCCCTCAGAGGCTTGTGAGGCAGTAGCCCAGGAGAAAGCATTTTCTATGGCAGCCCTTTAGTTGTGGAACTCCTGACACAGGCATTTATGGCGCCTTTATTTTTGTTTCTGGTAACAGCTGAAGATGCACCTCTTTACCCTGGCTTTTGACATTTAAGGTGCATATTTTTAGAGCCCACCTTAATTCTGTGGTGGCAATTTGTTTTAAACTGTAGAAATGTGTTTTGATTTTGTAACCCACCTTGTGGCCCTGAGGTAAATAAGGGGTGGGTAATAAATTATAACATCTTGGCCATAGGTTCCCCATCCATAAACTGGGCCAACTGCCATAGTTCCATCATTCTCAAAGGACCTGGGAATGATTGTTTTGCAAGGGAGCTAGGCATAGCTAAGGGCTTACCTGTAATCCATCTAGTATAGCATTTAAAACTACAGTAAGCCTGCAACACACGGAGGTTGTGTTCCAAGGATCCCGCGTAAACCCAAAATCATGTATAGCCAAAACACATGGGTACAATGGTGGGTAAGACTGCCAAAGTTTCCCCACCCCCACCCGGACACCCACCCTTTTTCTGCTCCCTTTTTAGGTGTGGGTTCTTGTTGTTTTTGTTTTTTTGCCAAGTGCACAAAGCTGATTGTACACAAGATAAATGTGTGTAAGTTGCAGGCTGACTGTACTTGGAGAAACCCTTGTTTTAAGATCTTTCAGCATGGCTAGTTCCCAAAATTTTCAAGGATATTCTTCATGGTCTTCAAGCAGCACATTTTGTTCCCCAGCCACTGGGCCTTTTTTAAAAATGGAAATAAAACACAACTTGAGGCACTTTTGAAAGCGGAGGTGGTCCTCTAGATGGCACTAGATTCCCATCAGCCATCCAGCATGGTCAATGGTCAGGGACGATGAGAGTTGTCATTCAACATCTGGAGGGCCCCAGATTTTTCTTCTCTAAGGGTATTGGTTTTTAATTTATTGGTCTTTTAAGATTTCACAAGGCTTTGCTGATTTTGATGGAGCAGACTAACGCAGCAAAACCCTTTGCAGCTCGTTAAAGGGTTCCTACCACAGAGCGTCGTTATTATCTTTTCGCAAGTCCATGGAGTTCCTTGTCAGTATTTCATGCAGCTTCAAATTCCCATTTAACTTGCCTGAATGTGTAGATCACATCTGCACTGAGCTACTAGCAATGCCCTAAAGGCTATTATCATTTTTCTGATTGGGAGCCACCTTGGGGTGGCACCCCCTTTCTTTGTAGAGTATATATGTGCTAAAATAGTTGCAAGGTAAGAAAAGAGGCTATTAAAATTACCCATCTAAAGCATGGCCAGGAAGCAATCCCGTCTGGGTCAGGCTCTCTCATTTCAGAAACCAGCAGATTTGCAAGAACGGATTCCTATTAAAATATATGCCGTTCAATGTGCTTAAAAGAACAGCTCTTGCTCAGGTTTTTGTTTTTTTAATTCATAGAATCGTAGAGTTGGAAGGGACACAGAGGGCCATCTAGTCCAGCCCCCTGCAATGCAGGAATCTTTTTGCCTGATGTGGGGCTGGACCCCACAACCTTGAGATTAAGAGCCTCATGCTCTACTGAGCTATAGTTGCACATACACTCCACATCTGGCACTGAACATCTGGAGAAGGGGATTCAGGATACTATTCGGAGGGGGTTCTTTTGTGGAGCAATTTCATGACAGATATCTTTTCCTAGAACATGTTAATGTGGCTGGGTAGATTGGTGGTAGCCTGAACCAACTGTCCTGTTGCCACTGAAGGTGCATATCGGGGATGGGGAACTATGCCCCCTGCTATGGGTTGTTGGTCTACAGATTCCATCATCCCTGGCCATGATCAAGCTGGGTGGGAGCTGATGGGGCATATCTTCCCTATCCCTAGATTATGTGAAAGGGCAAGGTGTTGGGAGGCAGAGAAGAGAAGGATCACAGGTTTTTACAGCCCTCGCTTTCACTTCCAGGGTGTAGAAGTCTAAACTCATAAATAGGAGGAACAAACCACCAGGTGGTGTTAAAACAGTTTTAAAAGCAAAAGATAGTTGAGGAGTCATTTTGAGGCGTGCTGGTCTAGAAACTGGATTCAAACCACCTAGCCTTGTCAAGAACGTCAAGTTGTTATCTCTCGCCTCAACCAACCATCCTCAGACACCTCACAGACTTGTTGGAGATTAAAAAATAACAACTATGTATGCTGGCTGCATTAAAACAGGGGGCTCAAGCAGAGGGGATAGGAGTGGTTCAAAGCAGGGGACATTGGTGAGAAATACCAACATAAACTTTGTTTTTAGATTATGTGTGTTGTTGCACACTAGCTTAAGAAAGACATTACCTGCTTTGTGAATGAAGGGAGAGTTGCCCCTTTCAAGGTGGCGTTAACCAGATCCAAGTTTTGTAACTTGTTTTTTTTTAATTAAAAATTGCCCAATTAAACAGGGCCATGTTGTCTCTGAATTGGCAGTGTTCGTTGTGGCTGCAATCCTGTGCATGCTCACCTGGGAGGAAGTCCCACAGAAATCAATGAGGTTTCCTTCGGAGTAGATTTATATAGAATTGCACTGCAAACCTTGAAGCCCCAATTCACCCTACCTCAGAGGAGCTTTGTGTGATGTGCACGGCTCCTGCCTCTGCCGTTTTAATCCTCATAACAATCCTTTGAGGTAAGTGAGGCTGAGAGACGATCCCTGGCCTATTTCTGAGAGCTTTAGGACTGACTGGGGATTTGAACTCTGGTCTCCCCCGTCATAAGTCAATCAATAGTTCCTCCTAGGGCCAATGAACTACAGCTCCCATCTGCAATTACCACTGGCACTTGCTGGCTGGACTGATGGAAGTCTGTCAAAATCTGAAATATCTTTTTTTTTTTAATAATAGTAAAAAAGCAATTTTTCTTTTTAAAAAAAAGGAGGCGGCGTTAATGCTTGCAAGTGCAGAAGTGAAAGGTAGCATTTACTCCACATGGACTGACACAAAATTAGCAACTGCATTTTTATATTTCAAACGCTAAGTTTCTGGTTTGTAGTATCTCTGCCCGAGTTAACAAGTTCCCTTGCAGCGCTGCCGTCGGTTGGAGACCACGTGGTTGACTTCATGCAACGAGGCATGTGGGTAGAAGACGTTGGTTTGGTTTCGAATCAACCATGTCACGGAACAGCTAAGATGGGAGAACAACGTCCCGGTTGGGTGGCAGCAGTTTACTGTAACAGTCCGTGTCTGTGCGAAGGGGAGACTCACCACAAATGGTTAGCATGGTCTCGGCCCCTGTGCAAATGTCTTTTAAAGGCACAGCTGTGTGACTACACAGCTGTCTGTAGCCTTTTCTCTGAAAAGAACCTGCAGTCCTCGTGTAAGAGAAAACAAGCTTTTGCGACTCTGAAATCCTTCAAGTATACATTACTGAGTTATGTATCCAGGCTTACTTGGGAGAAGGGTTGCCATACGTCCAGGATTTCCCGGAAATATCCAGAATACTGCAGTCAGCAGCAGTGTCCTGGTGGAAATCGGTAACAAATGTCTTGGAAAAAACAGACGTATGACAGTCCATGTCGTCAGTGCTGTTTTTGCCGGTTTCCCATAAAAATAGCTCAAGAAAAGCTCTTTTTTTGTCCATAGTTTCACTGTTTGAAATATGGCGACCCCACTTGGGAGTAAGCCTCATTTAACACAGTGGGCCTGTTTGAGTAAACCAGGTACAGGATTGGAGTGTTCAACTGCAATAGGTTTTCAAGCTGAATTTATCCTGTGTATGCACAGTAGTGTTGTGGAAGCACGGGATTTCATTCTAGGAATCTCTGCTTTTGGGATTTCCCCCCACCCCCAATAAAAGCAAATATCGGGTCCTTAAGGTTACAAAAGTACAAAAGTAAATGATGAAAAGTCATGGGTGATGCTTGCTGAAATATTTTACCGATAAATATTTCCAGCTGTTATGGAGCTAGATGTACTGGGTGTTGCTCCTTGCCCTTCCTCAGGCCTAGCAGATAAAATTATGTCTAAACAAATGCATGCAAATGTAGTTAATGAATTCAAGTTGCATAATTGACCTATTCTTGAGCAGAAGTAAACCCATGTGGCCACAGCAGAGTGGGATTTAGCAAAGTTCAGGCAATAAGCTACACTAAAATGAATCCTATAGAGTGTCGCTGCTCCAGCACCCTAATGG